GGACTGATCCAAACACAGGCACATCCTTCCTGGCTGATGCTGTCAGCACACGGACTATTGCTTTCTTTTCCTGGCACTTAGCATTCTCCAGGAGTGCAGCCTGCTGACCTTGAAGAAGTTGTCAAGAAGGGTGTTAAAACTCTCGTCATTGGCCGTGGCATGAGCGAGGCTCTGCAGGTAGGTTTTTGTTCCCCAGTAAACATAAACTAGAGCTGTTTGTTTGCCTTTCTCTTCTGGAGGATGGGTTAAAAAATCCACGAGGCTTTACTAAAAGCAAGGAACTTGGGGTTGCTGAATTAACCAGACTGAATTGCTGCCAGGAGTCGTTCTCTTCCTGAAAGCAGCAGCATTTGAGCTCCTCACTGTTGGTGTCAGAGTCAACAGAAAATAGTTTTACATTCTGCTACAGAAGCAAGTTAAACAAGGAGCTTTTTTCTAACAGTGTCATTAGTCCCTGCTCTTAGAAGAGGTTGTGAACTAGCTCTAGCCTGCTGTAAATACTCTGATAATTAAGGCCTTTTTGTCACGAATGTTGGCAGTGTCCTTGCAGCAGGTATGCCAGTTACAGAAGGCTGAGAAGGGCTGAGCTTCCCTTCATGAGAAGCAATTCTTCAGGTTTTTGTGAGCTGAGTAACACCTCATTTCTATTATCTTTATCTCAAATTCTGCTCCCTTCTGTAAGAACAAGCTGCACTTTAAACTGCATTCAGGAAAAATGGGAAGTTTGCATATGCTGGGTTCATTGAAAAGAAAAAATGGCATCAATCTTAAAAATACATTCTCAGTTTGTCTACTATCAATAACTTAAGTGGACCTACGAACAGATGGCATCAGTGCTAAGCAATGCCAGCAGCCTCCTGCTGCAGATTGGAGAATGAGCTGACGATTGCTTTCTCCTTTTCTCTTCTGAGGTTCCTCCGTCTACTGTGGACTACCTTAAGAAGAACGGGATCGATGTGTTGGTGTTGCAGACAGAGAAGGCAGTGCAAGAGTACAATGCCCTGGCTGCTCAGGGCGTCAAAGTGGGGGGAGTCTTCCACTCAACGTGCTGAAGCAGCGCCGCTCTGCAGCCCGCCCTGACCTCAGCCAGCGCCGGGCACGCCTCGGCTGCATCGAATTACAGCCGGCGCAGCGGGGAGCTGCGTGCCAATGCATTAATGTGCGCTGCACAGCTAAAACGCGAGGGCACTTTATAAGTTCAGGGTTTAAACAGAGTGCTGTTAATGAAAGCTTTTAACTGCAGAACAATTTGCATACGATCTTGGGATTGACCTAATCTTCCTCTGTAGACTGCGTGCGTTCTGGTTACTTTTGGGCTAAATTCATGAACTCTGGTTGATTTTTGGCTAAATTAAGACACTAAGTTGTGAATGCTTTCATTAGGAAATGGTGCAGAATTACATTATCAGTTACTGCAGCGTAGCCAGAAAATATCTGATGATGACAGTCAAGTGGTAGCTATGAAGTGGTGGCAAAGGATCATTTTATAAATGAGTTCAATAAAACAAAACACAAGGCAGCCCCGAGCAACAGCTCTGCCTCCTGCTGGTGAACTCGCTCAGGGTATCACTTGACACTTCTCTTTACACGGGACACAGAAAAAGCTGCCTACAGGGAAGGAACAGAACCTGTGCCTTGAAGATTTTTATCATTAATTGAAATGTGAATGTTGAGTTGTGGAATATGTATGTGTGTGAAACTCCCTACCTGCTTAAAATGATCAGGAAGATCTGTCACAGAATTGCTTGTAGGAAATCAGTCTAAGTTGCTGCTAGCAGGCTGGGGACAGAGGTAGAATTCTTACCCAGCAGTAGCTGCTAATGTAAACATGACAAGTGTGTTCTTACACTGAAAAAAAATTAAAATTCTTTTAGTTGCTGTTCTCCTTTTGTTTCGCCTACTTCTATTAATATTACCAGTTACTTATTGTGGGTTCCTTTCTTTTCCACCAAACTCACTAAATTCTTCATTGGTGCAGATGAAGTCTGTGCCTATAAGCAAAAGAACAGAGATGATGCTGAGAAAAGCCCTGAGGCACTCGGAGCTACCAGGGGGCAGCACAGAAGCTCGGATGGGTGTGAGAAGTCAATTACTTTCCCAAGCCCTAAGAATGACCCTTTGCAAAATGCTCCACTCTCTTACTATTTGTTCTAGTAATCATTTTATCCATAAAACACAGCGTGGCATAAAGGCAAAGGAAAGTTGAGTGCCCGTAAGTTTTATCTTGCCATCTCTTAATTGCAGCAATTCTTTCTAATAGTGTAGCTGTATTTGAGGCACAAGCCTGAGTAAACCAGCAGGAACTGCCTTTTCAGCTACATTTGTGTTCCCTCTTTGCAAACACCATGATATTTTTCTGAATAACTGAGGCCCAGAATTCTGCAGCCTCAAGAGAATCCTAGAAACCACCTTTGCCACTGCACTGTCTGCAGCCCTGTGTTCGTTGTGCTGGCTGATAGTGGAAAGCAGCTGCTTCTTGATCACAGTTCGATATTTGTGTTATTTCATCATCTTTTGGGCCTTGAACAGGAAGAGGCTTTCATTAAGGGGATAATTCCAGTTTCTTAAGCACTGTTACTCTGTTTGGAGAAGTAAATACCTTATCTTTTCCCTGCAGGTTTTGTTTGTTGTTTTCTACTTTCATACGGTACTGAAATAGTTTTTTGGATGAAGCCTCCTTCAAAAGCACTGCTTGGCCCAGCCCTGCACTGAGAAAAGCACCACGGGCTCCTATACTGCTGCTACACACTGTGTCCTTCCAGAGAGCAGGAGCACAGCCTGCTCTGCACTGCCAGGTGATTCTTAGAGGTGTGCCCTGCCCAGCTTTGTGCTGCGGCCTCTTCACTGTTCCCTTCATTTGGCAACCAGTAGCAGACAGAAGATTCCACTTCTAAAGCGGGGTGCTGCAGCCTGCAGAGGAAGGTTACTGCTAGGTCTCGGTTTCCCTATTTCAGAGTAAATTGTGAAGCCTCGCTCCGGTCTGTACAGAATTTCAAGGAGAAAACCCACTGCAGGTCTTCTCCATCTTTACCTTCTGTCACTGCTGCCTGAGTCAGCTTTGTCTGTTGCCACAGAAGCTTTGTCTGTTGCCACAGAAGTCAGCCCAGCTTGGGCTGCTCCGCTTACCCAGAGCCCTCCTTCCTCCTCGATGCAAAGTGTAAACAGCTGGGACTGATTCATCAAAATTCAACCCGAGCTCAAAATGCTCTATTAAGCCCCTGCTTTCAGCTAAAGCCATCAATAATTTGTTAGAACTACAATCTCATTGCCCAAATCTTTGTAGGGCAGGGCTTCTCCATTGCTTCTATGCTTCCCCCAGGAAAGCGATCTCCCACCCCGGCACCCTCATTACACAGAGCAGGGCTGGGCTGGAAGCCAGCGAGCTTCCACCCAGCTGTTGCACTGCTGAGCCTCCATCCACAGCCCTTATCTGTGAGAAGCAGCACGCCTGAGCTGGCAACAGGGAGACACAGGCCGTAAAAAGGCTCCAACAAACCGAACGCATCACAAGCAGCATTTTTAAGGGATGGCAGGCAGCATTTATGAGCCTTCAGACTTGTGTGTGAGGCCTCAGTAACAGTGCATGAGTGAACTGCAGGCTAACTGCAGGCTAACCTCAGCCTGCACCCCAGCCTAGCGCCTGCTGCAAGGACTAAACAAACACGAGTGACGTGAGATAAGAACAGTGATTGTATCTCTGATTTTTTCAAAAGATTTGAGAACTCAGCCAAAGAGGAGACCAGAGGAAAGCCCTCCCCATGCTCTGGAGCCCAAGAAGAGGCCACGTGGCTGCATTTCAATGCGTGTCCCATTCTTCCTTCTTGGGGGGGGATGGGATGTCTTTTTTTGCACTCTTTGCAGCGTGCAGTTTTAAAAGCATGTAACTAAGATAGATGAAAGTGTGGTTCTTTGGAAGCCACGCTGCATCTGAGTTAGTACCTGAACCATCAACTCTGTTCTTAATGCATAGATGTATTCAGCATTCTTAATGACTGCATTATTTACTTTCCAAGTTCTAAGGAATTGACCTCATTAATTCCAGTGAACTTAAGTGGCTCTGGTTATGAAGCTCCCATTAAAGGCACACAAAGCTAGGCCACGTTTAATTAAGGTAAAGGTAAGCATAGCAACACATTTGTAAACCACTAACCCACACCCTTACAACAGTGTTCAGCAGAAAAGCCTGAACGGAATCAGAAAACATCCCTGAGGTTGGAGATGACCTCTCAGATGAAGTCCCATCAGCACCTGACTGCTGTGCCCACTGACCACATCCCTCAGTGCCACACCTGCACCTCTCAGAGCTGGGGGAAGGAAGGAGGGAAAAGTCAGCACTGAGATAGAAGCTCTAACAAAACCTTTTATAGACTGGACGTGTATGAGTCTGATTATCAAAGCAGCAGGGAAATCAAAGGCAAATGAATTTTGGGAAGATCACAATAAAGAAAAACACATATGGTACTGAATGTTCCAATCATCACAGAGCGTTACTGGACACAGTTCAGCTAAAGTGATGAATCAGACACCTGCTTGAATGGGGGAAAGCTATGATGAAGAGGAGAAGCTCCAATTTCTTCCACACTTCAAGTTAGGAGTCAGAGGAAGCTCCAGGATGGTACCCAGCACAGAAGCCAGCTATGGGATGCTCACAAGACTGGAAATGTGTAGCAGTACAGTTTCTAATAACATGCATCAATCCCTGCCCACAGAGAAATGAACTGAGGATGCTGAAGTCCAGTGGTAACAACTGAGCTGCTACACATGCAGCTTTTCAAGCCAGTGCCCTAAAGGTGAAACACAAACAGTTTGTAAGAGGGTTTCTTCATTTTACTGCTATTTGATGTTAGAATACCTAAGGCAGCCAAATGTTTGGATCTGAAGCCTCGTAGCCATAAAACTGTCAGTCCTAAAAAAAAAAAAGTCACAAGTATCACAAAAGCCTCACAGTAATCTCTTATTAGACCATGCAGGCTGGCATGTTTACTCTTGTAATAAACAGATTAGGATCAGTTTTCCAATTTTATTGTAGGAAAGCACATAATAACTTTTGCGTAACCATTTATACTAATCTCTGTGTGACTGAAAAGTACTTCTTTGCTCTTTGTTTAGCCACTAGCCCTCCTTCCCCCAGAACCTCTTGCTTTCCTCCAGGCCTGCCAGAAGTGCTGTGTGTCCTGCTCACCAAGTTCTGCTCCTTGCACCAGCTCCCAGCATGAACAACCCGTGTCCTCCCCCAGCTGTCCCAACTCCAGCACAGCTGTACAGGGCACATCTCAGGATGTAGCCTGCAGCGATTGGCAGTTCCACTTGGAGATTCATTTCCTACACCAGGACAACAGCACTTCGGAATTATTTTTGCTTTTGCTAAAAAAAATTGATACCAATGCACAAGTTTCTGAGAATTACAAAAGCATGGATTTATGTGCCTCAACATTTACATAGTAAATAGCTTCAGCAGAAAACCCAGAGGCCGGGAAGAGACTTTGGCCCAATGCAGTTATTGCTGGAATGCTGACTGAGAATTGTCTTTGTTGATTCAATATAAGAAAAAAAAAAAAAAAAAACAGTGTTTTCTTGTAACTATCCTGAATTATCTGAATAACTCCTGTATTGGTCCACCTGCTGTGTAGCAGAGGAGCCCAATTGTTCTTCATCAGCTTTACTTTTATGGCTGACGTCTGGTTTCAGTACCTTGGAACACAGAATATCGTTTTCAATTTTATCCAACAATCCCACAAAGGTGTTTCTTGTAGTGTCAGACTTCACCTCCTGGCAGGTTTGGGCATGATGTACACTTTGACAGGTTTGCTGAAGGGGATCGTCCCCTCGATGCCGCTTTCTGGCTGCGGCAGAGCCTCCGGGCTCTCATTCCAGGTGGATTTGGCCATCTTGGCTGCTGCTTTGCTCCTGTTGGAATTGTAGGCCAGCAGCAGCCGCACTTCGATCTGACACGGCTCTGAAAGGAGAGAACAGAACAAACCATACGTGGAATCACGGAGGTTGAAAAAGACTGCTAAGATCATCAGCTGTCAGCCCATCGCCGCCGTGCCCACTGACCACATCCCCAAGTGCTGCCATCATCAACAAGCAATGCTGAATGTCTGATCACACAGACTGACCGGATGGAGCACAATAAATTACCTTTTCCCACAGTTACACCACAGCTCAGCTAACAGTTCCCTAAAACTCATCGTTCTGCCACAGCATCAGTTCTAATCTGTAGCTTTCAGTCACTGCTTCTGCTATGCAACAGTTAATCTATATTTTGTGTTTGGACGTCCTCCATCGTAAGCCCATACTGTCCTCTATGGTCTTAATGAATTTCTTTTTCATGCATTGAGGTAATTTGCCCACTTTGTCAACTGACCCTGTCCTCTCAGCCCCTCCCAGCTTGATTTCCTCACCACCTGTGAAATGCCTAAGCACCAATGTCAAAGTTCTTAACTCAAATAACTGCTAAGGGAACAGAACAGAATCCCATAGGTCCCCATTTGAAGTGCCCTTCCAGCACGCACTGCAAAAGCAGAAATAAGGACCAAGTTCAGCTCCTGCTGCGTTGGCAGAACCAACTTTTAAATCCTGATACTCCTGACAATTCCATTTTTCTTCTCCAGAAATCAAAGACAAGCAAGGTGAACAAACGCACCATGGAGGTGCTACGTAAAATGGAGCAACTGAAAGGGAACATAGCACTGAAAAAAAATCCACTAATTAAAAATATAAATCACCAAGTCCTATTAAACAGGAGAAAGCACTCAAAAAAATATATACCCTATACTTGAATTATGTGAAGGGTTTAAAAGAAAACGGGAGGAAGGCAGCTGCAAAAAATATATTTGCTTTTGTTGTCTGAAGCCCACAAGCCAATTACTGCAGCGGTTTCATTGAGAAGTGTGAATGCCATCTATGACTGAACGTGGATGTGGGAGTCACCAGAGATACAGGGTGTTTTTTTTAGGACATTCAAAGGGCGAAAGTTTAATTAACAGTGAAATTATGCTGTTGAACACACACAGTTCCAAAGGTTCTCTGCTGTGCTCAAATACCTGTCAGATCCAAAACAATGAATGACAATCAGTTCATTAGGACTCCTTGCCTTTAAATGAGGATGCAGACCTGGCTCCTACAACGAATCTTGCTCTGCACAGCTATGGGTAACACGCTCCATTTAAAAGCTCCCAATGCTGGAAGACTGCATGTGCAGCCCCTGGTGCACAGCAAGGGCCTTCTCTTTAAGACAGCAGCCCCTCTGTCACCTGCAGGACCCCATATCCTATCTAACAAGATGCCCCCACAGATGCAGGTGCCCCTGTTCACTGCAGGGCAGTTGGACTAGATGACCTTTAAGGGTCCATTCCAACTCAAAGGTCCTCTGGTAAGATGCAACTGCTCAGAGGCTGTAAGAACAGAAACCTGAGCGATGCTACACCCCCTGTAACGCCCCATGGTCCTCAAGCTCCCAAAGCTGTGGGCACACAAGAGATGGGAATCACACACTCCCATCTTTCAAATATGTAGCAACACAATCCCATGAACTCGCATTGATAACATTACCTGTCCAGGCTGTGTGTGAGAGGTAGACCTGAGTTATCAGTCTGTGCCTTCCAGGACCAGGATTTCTGAAGTCAGCTGGCTTAGGATGGATTAACTGCGCTTGCCCATCCGGATACAATACCTATCAAAAAATAAATAACAGATGTATGACAACTGGACTGGGCTTTTGTACAACGTACAGAATTTTTGGGCTCTTTGTTCAAGGTCTGAAGGCAGAAGCTGTGCTTTAGCTCAGAACCAGGAGCCCAGTTGATCTAGATTTAAAGAACACATGATTCTGTGTTGGCCATTTAAACCCATGGCATGCAGCAGAAGGTATCACCTTCTTCCTCTACACTGTCAAGCTTCTAGTTTCTCTGCTGAGCAGCGCATCTGTGTATTTACTTGAATCACACCATACCCTTCTTAGCTGCAGCTTCATTGACGGTAATGATTCAACAGCAGGAAGAAAACTGAGTGTTAAATACAGAGAGCCAAAGGCATACCAACTTCTGTGGTGTTCAGAGCACCTCCTTTTGCTCCTCTTCCCAATATACAAGCTGGTGGAAGTTCACCCCCATGTTTGTCCATAGCGTGCTGGGCACACATGTGAAAGCAGTGTAGCACACACGGAGCACAGAATGCTTTCAAAGGGCTCAAACTCCCAAGAGCAACAGAAGTGAGCCCAAGGCACTATATGCAATACAGTTTTGCATGTGAGGTTACACCACAGAAGTCCAAGAGTGTTAAGGAGTACAACTGTTTGCAACCAGGAAGTATTGACATCCTCATGTCCTCATGAAAACTCCCCCCAAAACAAAATCTTGTCTGCAATTTTGTCAACTGGCTGCTTACCTGAACTTTAACAGTTCCTTGGGGATCCTGCACGTGTTCCAGCGTTGCATCCACATCCAATGCCACCACTAACCCTGATGTAAACCTCAGAGGATTGTCTGATTCACCAGTCGGCTCAATGATGTTTGCACTGGCTCTGTGGAGCTGGAAGAGGCAAAATTGTTGGTGAAAATAAAGGAGAGGAAAAAGAAAACAAAAAAGGAAAAAACAATCACTGTTGTTCTTATCAAAGGAACTATGCATGAGCTTTACATCACTTGACATGCTGCCAAGAATTAATATCTTGAATTTTAGCCTTAATCCCGGAGATGATTGGTGAGGAGAAGCGATCGCATCAAGAACCAACATTTGCAACTGAGCAGAAAGCTGCAGCATAAAAGCTTTGTGGTCCGTCACGAACTACGTGGCAGCCAAAGACAGCCTGCAAAGCTACTGCATTCTAAACTGACCTGCTCTGGAAGAGGAAGGTGGAGGAAGGTACTTTGTCGCAGCGTCGTTTGAAGAATCTTGACCACTTCTGAAGGCTTGGATGTCACCAGTCTGGGCATTAAGTCCAGCAGCTTATCTACAAAACTGCCCTGCATTTGTGGGAGCTCAGAGATGAAACATCTGTATTTAAAAAAAATAATTAAAAAAAATAAAAAATAAAAAATGAAGTCCTTATTTCAACATTTTCAGTGGCCCCATTATCTTTAGCCAAGCTGATCTTTATGGTTAGTTACAATGACAACATTAGATATGGAGATTCCACTTCTGATGCACTCTCATATTAAAATAATTTTGGCTACTTATTTTCGAGTTGTCAACACCAAGGGCTTTGGAGGACACATCTCTTAGGTCCTGCCTCAATACAGAGCCCAGCAGGGAAGACTTACAGAACAAGCTAGAAATGCTGAGGTAAATAAAACCCTATAAAAACACACTCATGGCATCTCACTGCTGTAAGGATTTATCTATATGAGACTGCATGTGCAGCTGTAACAAACACTGTTTTGATAGCAAGAATGCTAATTGAATGAAGTGACAGGTCACAGGCAATTCCAGCACTCAGCATTCAATCCCTACGTCTCAAGAAATAAACACAGTCAGGTGAAAGTGCTGCTCCTATTACTGCTGCCTTGTAAACTTCTGAGATCAGTACATCTCAGGAAAGACACTCATCCTTTATGCTGTGCACTTTCATCCTGCTAACCCAACAGCTGACTTGTTGCAGAATGTAACCACCACGTGAACTCTCTGACCTCCCTGGAGAATGGTTTTGCTCTACCAATATCTGTAAGGGAGTGTTACATCTGTACCCTGAAATCTTAACAGTAAACTAGAATCAGTTAAAAAAAAAAAAAAAAAAAAGAAAGCCAGCTCTGGAGGTGAGGAACAGAAAACAGAATTCATTTTATATCAAGGGACAAGAGCCTCTCAGATCATCCAGTATTGTTCTTTATATAGAAGCAAAATCGGTCTTCTCCTGTACATCCCCACATGCAGAAAATGCTGTTAGACTGACTCCCTGATGGCTTATTTGTCACTGTTAGCAACATGCCTGCCACATTCAGCAGGACAGCTTTGTAAGCCTAGTAAAGGCTTGGTGCGATCGGTGAGAGACGTGACGTGCACCATTCCTGCAGGTGAGCAGCCTCTTGGGCAATGGGCTCTTCTCTGCTCATTAGGCCCAGCACTGTGCTGTATTTCCACCTCCAGCTGAGTCCAGAAAGAAGAATAGTGGACTCGCCCCCTCCTCCCACCCCCCCAAAAAAAGGAGTCTCTGCTCATGAAGCTCTACAAGTGAGATTCTCCAAGATCCAATTCATGCTCTACACAAGTTCAAACTCCCTAAACAGAAGCTTTGGCAAAGGCAGAGGAAAATCACGTGCTCCTTTCTATGTTCCAAGAGTGTGTAAGCAGCACCTTGTGCCCTTGTGCTTCTGTGATTGCCTCTACAGAGGCAGCACATTTCTACTGCTCTGTCATGCGGTGCAGCCAACATCTGTCATGCTGAGGCTGCACAACCTACACAGGGGGATTTTGTGTGTACAGGCATTTCTAGGTGACCTTACAGCTAAGCAACAAGCTCTGCCAACGTTCAGATTCCTGCTTATGGAATTCATCGCTGCTGTAGGGGTTGCATTCCTAAGATAAAGTGATGAGTTTTGCTGATCCTGAGGTCTAACGAGAGGGAAAGAAAGGAAGGAAGTGAGCAGTTCTGCTCCCTGGCTACCAGTGGCATATTCAATACCAGGTTACATGTGGAAGAAATATCATCAGCTTCAATACAAAATACAAAAAAGCACAAAGAGAAGAAGCAATGCTGTTTCTCACCTCTGAAAGGAATCTACTTCCTGAAGGAATTTCTCACACATCCCAAAAAGGGGTTCCACCCTGCAATGAGATAACATTGCTTGATCCAAAAATAAAATAAGAGAACTGGCTCTACAGCCGTAAGCATTTGAGTTTTGAAAATTCAGTTCAAGCTCCTAGAAACTGTAAGACCTTAAAGACAATCTGAGACCACAAATGGATTTCCCACAGGAGAAAGAAAAAATGAACTGTCATCTTCTCCACACCCATAACCCCCTCCACAATACATCCTTCTCATTCGCATTCACAGGCATTAAGTTCCCAGAGCCACTGTTGCAACACAAACTTTTCACCTTTAAAACATAACAGATCTTATGGAACTCTATGACAGCACAGCAAATCAATGCCAACAAACATATTTATGTTCTCCTACGTGCACTGAAGAACGAACTCAACTTCATTCTTCAAATGCTCATCAGCATTTCCATGGTGTTTTAGGCGTCTAATTTAGCCTTGCTGCTTCTTAAAACAAAGCTCAAGGATACAAAGCTTGCAGGTGACCCTTGGCACCACCCTTACCCTCTGGTGGTGCGTGCAGTCACTATGAGCTGTAAAGCTTTTGCTTGCAGTCTCATGTGGTGGATGATGACCACTTGTCTACTTTCCACACCGCTGTACATGAACTCCATTTTGTAAGTTTCTTCCAAGATCTGTCAGACAACACAAACAAACACAACGACAAACCATCAGGCTCAGTTAACTGTTGCCCAAGCACGGTCGCAAGATTCTGCACTTTTCCTCACGTGAGGAACCATAAATCCATGAGCACCATTCTTGTCATGAATCATTTCTTGGTGCGAGGCGGTACTTCATACTAAAAGATATCAAAGAACCAATCTGTGACTCCTCACCTGAAATCCATCGCTCCCTCTCTTGGCAACACACCCTGTGATGTCGTATTTTACATTTCTGGGCTGGAGCTCTCACCAGCTCCTGCTGGTTGCACTGGAATACAAACCAAGCAGCACAGCAGAGCAGCACCAGTGGCTCTGCTCAGGTTCAGTTTCAGAGCCAGACTAAACAGAAACAACTTCACATTCAACAACACCAAACGTGCTGCAGCTAGAAATGGGAACCATCACAAGGTAAGCATCCTCCTGTGCTATTTTCGACACAGTTAAAAGCTTAGACAGCATGCTGTGGCTTTACTGAACACCACTGCATTCAGTGTAACCACACAGAAGCAAGGACTTTATTTAATAAAGATCCCGTCACCTTGCTTGATGGAAAGTGATCTACATTCACAATCAAAACAGATAAACCTTCCCGGGGGGGCTCACACACTACTAAGAAGGGCACCCAAGAAAGACAGTTCAATTAGAGAAGATTTAAGAAGCTGATAGGCTTTTGTATCTACTCATCTCCGGGGACAATTGTCAACAGCAGAGAAGGGTTTGATGCACAGCAGTAGCTGCATCTTAATACATTTTAATTAACTGGAGGATCAAAATGTCAGCGTGGCTTCCCAGCAGACCCACAAACTTGCTTTTACCCTAAATCCAGATTATTTAAAGCTTGCTTTCTCATTTCTTTATTTAAAAAAATAGTTTTGCTTTGTTTTTTTTTTTCCCAGGATCAGCCAATCAAATACCAGAGAATAAGAATAACCTGGATTGTGTGGAACTACTGGAGCTCATTTACCACAGTCCCCTCCTCAAGGCAAGTCTAATTAGCCCAGTAACCCAGAGCCCTGTGTTCTGTGAACACTTCCATGATGAAGATTCCCCACTAACAGTCTGGGAAATCCATTGCAGCACTTAACAACAGTCACGGCAGTTTTTGCTACCTTGCATCTACTCAGAATTTCTCATATTCCAACTTGTATCCATTGTGCTTCTTGTCCCACGGCAGCACATCTCAGAAGAGTCCTTGTTTGTGCAATCCATATCCTCAGATAAGGCAGTGGTGTAGGGCAGTACATCAGCCTCAAACCTTCCCCAGGCTGAATGAGCCCAGATCCCTCAACTTTTCCTCGCAGGAAAACTGCTCCACTCCTCAGCCACCTCAAGGCCCCCTGCTCAACTCGCTGCAGTTTGGCATTACCTTCCTTGGATGGAGATGAGCACATCACTGCTCCAGATGTGATCTCCTCACAACCAAGTGGAGGGGACAGATCACTTTCCCAGATCTGCTGGATAAGGCATGCATGCTCTGACAGCCCAGGATGCAGTTGGCCTTCCTTACTGCTTCACGTTCAACTCCTTGCATACCAGGACTCCCATGCTGCTGTCATGAGGCTGCTGTCATCCCCTTTCTTCAGTCTGCTCCAGATCCCTTTGAACAGCAGCCTTGCCCTCCAAGCATACAGACCAGCTCCTCAACTCAGTTTTATCCACAGGGTTGTGGAGGGTACTCTGGACTTTGTGCCAGTATTTGCAATGCTTTAAGCCAGGCAGTCTGGCCAATTTTCCATCCACATTATCATCCATTTATTGATGTGGAATCTTGCCATTTTGGTAATAAGTAATGGGAGGCTGTGTTAAAGGGTTTGAGAAAGTCAGGCTTTGTGACATCCAATATCTAATGTCTACAGCACCAGTGCCATCACTGTGGAAAGCAGTAAGGTTGGTCAGGCATAATTCACCCTTCAAAATGCATTTCAGCTGATCCCAACCACCTTCCTGATTTTCATTTGCTCACAAATGGCTTCTAAGAGGACTCACTCCATGGAGTTCCCCAGAGGCCAACAGTCCACTGTTCTCCAATCTTCTTTCTCATTACTCTGGAAGATACGTGGCATGTTTGCTTTTTTCCTGCGGTCCTAAATCTTCAATTGCTATTTCATTTGATCTTTTGAAACTGAAAGAAATTACTTCACTTTGGGGAACTAGGATTGACTTGGACAGGCTACAGCATAAAGTCAGAAACACTTTAGTACTGCAAGGCCATGGAGGCTGGAATCCAAGGACTCGCCTTCAGGTGCTTCAGCCTCACCTGTTTTGCTGCAGCAGATGCCAACGCATTCTGTTTCAGGTACAAAGGAGCTGCCACGTTCCACAGCTTCTCCTGCAAGGCCTACAGAAGAAAACCATTAAAAAAAAAAAAAAGGGATGACAAATAATCATTTCAGTCTGAGCACTGTAACACTGTGCGAGATAAACAGCACTTGGGGGCATGCCCTGTCTCTGCTATATGCCAACAAGCTGTCAGAGAGCAGGCTAAAGGTTTCTTCTTGCTTTTAAACACAGTATGGGAAACCACAGCTTCCAAACTACACATTTCTGTATAAACACCCACATTAAAAAAATCCTACACAGAGTTGGGAATAACGTTAACCAAACTATGAATGAAAGACTGGCTAAGCTGCAAATTTTTCAGTATTTAAGGATAATATGCAGTCACTGATCAGAGAAATTATAACCCATTATCACCTTCTTGAGACTAAGAGCAGGGCATCCTCAGACTGCACCCCTGGAACTGGAATATTGGAAACAATAACTGTCCTCAGAAACACACCCACACAGCCAGTATTCCTCAGCCTTCCTGTTGACAGCTCCCACTCCCTGCTCCCCCAGCAAGATCCTGAAGTTACTGAGTGCAACAAAGCTGCTGGTATTTGTACAAAAGAAACCCTATTTGCTCTTTGGTTTATGTTAAGAAAGGATTAAGAAAGCTTGACTGGAAAGAAATCTACTGAGAAGGGTGTACTGGCATTGGTGTTCTCTCTGTCACACTGAAATTTCTAACTCTGTGGCATTAAAACTCACTTCTAATTTCAGCCACATTACTCGCTCTGTGTCACTCATGTATTTATTGACTGCTCTGCAGCTCAAGCAAAGAATGTTTGGTGCAGTGTTCACCCACTTCTCCCAAACAGAACACTCATCTTTGCCAGAAACACAAACGTTCACGTTCTCTTAGCTAAGGCAGGATGGCTCAGTCCAGTCAAGCCCTGGAGAAAGGCAACAAAGCCGCTTCCCAATGCCAGCCCTCTGCATGGACTGCACATTCTGTGTTGATAAATCTCTGCATTTCATAGCATCAGAGACCAGCATGGGTTGGAAGGGACCTTAAAGACCATGCAGTTCAAGCTCCTGTGATGGGCACTGACACCTCCTGCTGCATCAAGATACTCAAAGCCTATAACAGCTCTCTAAAATACTTTTTCTGGGTTATAAACGTATTCTGAGGATTTGAGGGCTGCTGTAACACATCCCAACTGACAGTTACACATTCAGCTAAGAAACTCAAATCACTTTTGGTTTTACACAACAAAGCTTTTACCTTATTTCTCTTGGAAATTCATTTGTGAGGTCCTGCTTTACCTACCTGCAGGTTACATTCAAACACCTTAAGAGTATTAGGAAACTCAGGTAAATTGCCAGCTTATAGCTCAAGAAGGAAAGCAAAACAAAAATCCAGTTTATGCTTCAGCAAGGAGGTGACTTGGAAGAGGGCTGCTGTCACAGTATCAAAATAACCACTTCACCTGCTTATACAAAGCAGACAGGTCCTTTCAACACTGCAAAGCATAGCTGATATTTCCCTCACTCAAGTCTAAAGAACTGCGCTGGCACCGGTGCCAAAAATGCTGTCTACAAAACACACTCTGCAGAAACTCCACTTTCAGGGGCAGTTTTACCAAAAGCATTTTGGTGGTCACCAGCAGAAAGAAAAGCACTCTCTCAACGTGAAAGGCTGCAGAGCGGTTTTCCACACTGTGACTGTCAGAAAATAAACTCTGCACTGGCACAGAAATGCAATGGTGCATTCATTACTGAAGTTACTTCATCAATTCTCTGCCCCAGAAGTGAAGCAGATGCCCCAGAAATCCACCAAATCTGCACTTTCACCAGGGATCAGCTCTCAGCTGATCACCACAACAGTGTGCAGCTGACTGGGACGTTCTGAAGCACAGCCCACGACACCCTGCTGAATCAGACCTTGGTGAGGAGCAGCTGACACTGAAGGTACGTCGCAGTGAAATCCGCCATCCCTGCCAGCTCTGACTGCAGCTCCCCAAGCCTCTGAAGATCACTGAAATAAACAACAGAGGGAAAGAAAGCGTTGAGACAGCAAGTAGGTTAATCTAAATGCGCTCAGAATGCAGCAACAGCAATGCTGAGGCCAGCCATTCCCGCATCTTGTTTTTCCTTATCCCTGGTACGAGCACCACAAAAAGTAGGAAAGCATGCACTACAAAACAGCTTGCACCCTGGGAATTGGCAGCTCCTTTTTTCTTAGAGGCTGACACAAGCGCAGCAGTGCAAGCAGTAAGCCTGTCAACCCACACTGCTCTGCAGCCCTGTGGGAACCAAACAGGGCAGCAGTTCCAGATTTAACTTAAAAAAACCCTCCAGGTTTCTACAGCAGCCAATGACCCATTTGTGTTCCGCTGCTGGGAAATCCAACTACTGATATTGGGGAAGGTTGATTGGAACATGGTGGGCTCATGCAATCAAGCACGTTTGAGGTATGGCCTTTCAGTACCCAAAGGGAGCCTATAAACACAAGGGGAGCCAACTCTTTGAAAGGGTAGATAACTGCAGGACAAGGGGAAATGGTTTGAAGTTGAGGGAAGGAAGATTTAGGTTGGATGTCAGGGGGAAATTCTTTACAGAGAGAGTGGTGAGGTGCTGAAACAGCTGCCCAGAGAGGCTGTGATGCCCCATCCCTGAAGGTATTCCAGGCCAGATTGGATGGAGCCTGGCCTAGGACTAAATGTGAAGTTGGTGGCCCTGCATATTGCAGGGGGTTGGAGCTTCATGGAGCTTGAGGTCCCTTCCAACCCAGGCCATTCTGTGACTCTGTGATAGCTGCCACTGTAAGACAACCTTAAACCTGAGGAACAGATACTCAATTGGCTGCTGTGTGTGGACAGGCTCCTTGGTGCTTAATTCCCACACCTCACAACAGGGAACAGTAACAATTTACACCAGCTCCAAAGCACCACTCTCCTGTGCAGTACACAGCTGTGCACGTGCCCATCTCAGACAGGACTGCTGTCAGATTCTGGATGCTCTGCCAAGAGAGAACCTGTTAAAAGCGTTTTGTGCACTGGATGCTGTGAGATGATGTTCTGGGCTGTGCACCATAGCTCTAAAGCAGCTGCAGATAAAGCACGTTGTTTTCACGGTCAGGATTTCTACTGCAGACGGGTGCAAAAGCAGTTTACAGCTACACATATAAAAAAGGTGGCAATGTAGGGAAAAAGGGAAAAGCCTTTTCGGGATTTCGTGTTCCAAATAAGGGATCTGAGCCTGTTTTTCTGGCTTTCAAAAATAACTCTCTCATCCCCTCTGCAATGATCCTTTTCAAGTGTTTTGTTTGTCTAAATCAGCTGAGATAAACGGAAAAGGCAGAATAGGCCCCTCATGTATGCAACAGCAGCATGCAATAATACTGTGTATTTCAGGAAAATCTCTGAATTCCTAACTCATGAAGAATACCCAACCCCTTTATAAGCAGGACTGATGAAAGGAACCCAGCAAGGCAGAAGAAGCAGCTTCTCTCCCATGCAATCAGAGGCCATGGGGCCTGGAAACCGTGAGACCAAGGGGGGAAAAACCCTTCTCTCCATCCAAAACAAAAAGCCCTGTGTGCACACGTTACAAACAATCTGACCAAAATGAGAGATGTGCAGGGACAGGACTGAGAATAACACCGATCTTCAGAACTGACTTCAGAGAAGCTGCAAATCCTGACTCCTCTGATGAGCAGCCTTACCGAATGGTGAACTCCAGCAGCTCCTGGATGCCCTGCGGGTCGAGGTGCTGGAGGTTGTACACCCTCTCCAGGCTCTGGTGCAAGAACTGCTGGGAAGGGTCCTCATGTGGTGCAATGCTGGGAGAGATGGGGGAGGAGACCAGCTTCCTACCTGGCAGCTAAGCATAGACAAACATGACACAAGAGACAAGTCTACCATCAGTAATAGCACTGCAAAACGCTGCTGTGTTATTTAACAGCTACCCACTGAGATCTCCGACTTCATTTCTCAGATTCAACATTTATGCCAGGGCTTTATTGGTTAATACTCTCTATTTAAAACCCACTCGTAGCTAGAGATCTTGAGATTAAGTGTCAGTGTGCCTTTGAGCATCCTCCTCACCTACGAAACAGTGGAATCAGAGGAAGACCACATGCAATCAAGTTCATCAACTGCACTAAGACTTACAACTGCCTTCAGTCCCACCTGTACTTCCATGCAGGAAAAGCATGCTCTAAAGGAGCACGAAACGCACCACTGCCACTAATAAACTGTTTAGGTGAGATCTAAGTCAAATCATAGAATCCTTGGAGTTGGAAGGGACCTCTGAAGGCCGTCTAGTCCAACTCCCCTGCAATGAACAGGGAACCACAGCTAGATTTGTAATACGTTCAATGCTGTGAATTGTTAAGCGTGCTAAACGTTGTAACATTGACAAAGGCTGAGCTCCCCTTCCCCATGCAGTGACAGCTCCTGGGAATCCTGCCTCCCAGCATTCTTTTCTAGCCAGCAGAGCATGTGTTATTCCAGCTCGAGAGCAATAACATTTTTCTTCAACAAAATATTACCAAATCCATATCGTAACAATCTAATATTTGGCTCTCCCCACCTAAGGTACGTTTCAATATTCACTCACTGGTGCTGAGGGGAAAAAGAAATCCAGAATCAAATCATTACCCGTTGGCAGACATGGAAGAAACCAACAATACTCCCAACAAAGCAAAAGCCTTGGTGGTTCAACTTACTCGTAGTGGAGGGACCAGATGAGAGAGGCTGTCACGAAGATAGGCGTAATGTCTGAACGTGTGATCAGAAAACAGCGCTGGCATTGTTGGGCAACTTTTAGCAGCATTGAAAATCAGAACCAGAACAGCAATGTCTATTGAAACGGATTGTCAAAGAAAAATAAACAACGACCAGAAGAGTTCTTTGGGGATGGCGAGGCCAATAGCAATAACTCAACAACCCTTTCTTTGCTGGTGGGTCTTTAGTAAGTTCTTCACTGCTGGAGAATGCTGAACAAAACCCAAGGAGGCAGCTGTCTGAGCAGATGCAGCTGAAGTACAGAGTGCAAACACTACAGGCAGGGCCATATTGGAGAAGGGCTGCTACTGCCAACGGGGGATGGCTCAGAGGCAACACACAGGATAGGAGCCAAGGATCATAAATGCACAACTCAATAGGTGGAGCTTTCCCTGAGGCTCACGCTGTGCTTACCAGTTTGGCACCCAAACACTTAAAATTAAACGTTTGCCTCTGAGGTTTTGAAAATCGCTGCAATTCCTCCCATGCGAACACCCTGAAAAGCATCATAGAATCACAGAATCATTTGAGTTGGAAGGGTGTTTGAAGGTCACCTAGTTCAGCTCCCTTGCAGTGAACAGGAACATCTACAGCTCGATCAGGTTGCTCAGAGCCCAGTCCAGCCTGGCCAGCAGAATTAGTGAACCAAATAACACCATAGGACAAAGATTCTGGAATGGGAAAACCTTTTTCATGGTCTGAGAGCCACAGAAATACAGAGGGCAGCCAAAGGCTTCAAGCAACAGGTCCAAAGGCTGGGACATTCACCTGCAACAGCGTGCCCCAAAACATAAGATCTCTAGCAGGAGTAAAAAGATTCCAATGCAAAGCAGACGAGGTCAGGGCACTTGCCTGCGCGGAGAAGAAATAGGTTCAGATACACTCCTAAGCACAGCAGAGATGTGAACGTAATCTCTTATCTCCTGAATATATTCTCTATCTGTGGGCTACCAAGCATAAAGACTTTGACTTGCCAAACCAGTTCCTCTCCTTCACCCAAAATCCCTTCCAGGTTTTCAGCTGAAGTGATTCAACTTCACTGTTGATTACGATTTGCTGGCCACTTGGAATCTAAAATCCTCACATTTTTAACTACCAGTTCATTCACTGAAGGCCTTCCTTGTCGTTTCTGGCTCTCAGCCTGGCTTCCCAGAACACCTCTCCATAAAACATGGTGGCGAGTTACCTCCAGAACATTTCTAAACTAACATCCCCTGGATTCGAGCAGAGAGGTGGTGGAGTCTCCATCCCTGGAGGTGTTCAAGAGCTGCAAAGAAGTGGCCCAAAGGGAAACAGTGGGGATGGGTTGATGGTTGGACGAGATGACCTCAGAGATCCTTCCCAACCTCAACCACGCTATGATTTTAAGGTGCACTGAGGTAAACTAGAGCTTTTCACCCCCCAAATTCCTTAAATCCCAAACTCCTAGGACAGATGTATGACACAGCTATCCGAATAAAGATTAACTTCCTCTCCACCTGATCCCAGCCCTTGTCAATCCTCACAAGCTATTCATTTGATCTGTTAGCTGGTGGCCTCCGAATGGAGAGAAAAACAAGGAGCAGCGTGGCAGTTCAAACGAGCTGTTCCCATCTAACATCTCTCAGCATGCACCATAAATAACAGCACGTTCTGCAGCTGCACAGAAAGAAAGTGAGGAGAATGAACAATAGAAAAATGGTATTTCACATTTCTGAGGCATCTCCCATTGTTAAGAGCAACGGTACAAAAATCACAGTGTGCACTCGGAAGCACTGAATTTAATATAAGGATTTTGGATTGACTTAATTCAGAAAGCCAAGTTCATAGCATTATGGGAATTCAGCCACTGCTACACTAAGTGACAGTGCTGTTCTATAAACTGTACAACAGGGAGAGGAGTAGAAGTTTCACCAACAAGCAAACAAAACAGAAAACCACTCTTATTTAAAAGCAAAAGCATCTCCCAAAATAGTGCAAGCTAATTTTCCCATCAAAGGGCTCATCTGCAAAACCTCAACCTTGAGACACTGCTTGGTAACCAGATCATTCACACAGCATGAAAAAGCTAATTACACCACTCTGGTATTTATGAAGATTGTTCCAGATGATAAAACGGCCTGGGTTGCAAAGGAGCACAATGCTCATGCAGTTCCAACCCCCTGCTGTGTGCAGGTCACCAACCAGCAGCCCAGGCTGCCCAGAGCCACATCCAGCCTGGCCTTGAATGCCTGCAGGGATGGGGCATCCACAGCCTCCTTGGGCAACCTGTTCCAGCGTATCACCACCCTCTGCATGACAAACTTCCTCCTAAAATATAACCTAAACCTCCCGTCTCAGTTTAAAACCATTCCCCCTTGTTCTGTCACTATCCACCCTCACAAACAGCCATTCCCCCTCCTGTTTATAGGCTCCCTTCGAATACTGGAAGGCCACAGTGAGGTCACCCAGAGCCTTCTCTTCTCCAAGCTAAAACAAAGCCCAGTTCCATCAACCTTCCTTGCTGACAGTGAGTCCATTGCTTGCTGAGTCACAAAGGGACAGCTACAGGACCGTGCTAGTTTGAAACAGCTTAACAAATTCAAACACTGGGAAAACACCACTAAATGTTTGACTGTGAAACAGATCAGCTGCCTTCTTCACAAGGATACAAGCTGGATCATCCATGTCTGGTTCTGGAGTGTCAAAGAACGGGTGTGTGCTCAGCAGCTCCGGGACCAGAGGGAGCACCAGAGTGGGATGCCTGCTCCCCAGGAACTTTAAACACCTGTAAACACATGGACCAAAATATTTCTTAGTAAACACATTCACTGCAAAATACAACATTTTAAAGCATTACTGTTTTGTATTACAGTGGAACTTTGATGTGTTGGTCAGCACCAGAATCCTACTGCTCAAGACTACGTGCAAACTCATGGCAACTCTGCCTCTTCAGGATAAAATCTGTTCACTTAAGCCATCCAAGAGACAGTTAACACCTGCAGGCACACAACCTAAGGAAAACTTGCAAGTTAAATGCTAACAAGCACATATATTTTTTTGTTCAGAAAAGCTAGAAGTGTGAGGAGGTAAAAGGACAACAAAACAAGATCCAGAAATCCAAACTCCGACAGCATTGTAAGAGTACACTAGAAGAAAAAGACCAAAAAAAAGAAAAGAGCTTCCAATAATAACCAACAATCCCATCTCAAACCACGCGTGTGGAAGCATTGCTTCCTTTGTTGCCTCCATTAAACAACCCAAAACCCCCAAAACGTTCATTATTTTCACTCACAGACGAAAAGAATCCCTCCAAGAGCACAATACCCTTAGCCAGCCCACTTCTCACAATCAGCACAAGCAACTGCTAGAGAATATTGCCATGTCATGGAGCACAAAACATTAGTTATGTGGAATAGATGATGCTTCCTACTAAAAGTTGGAAGAACCTTTTCTGGAAACTCTGAGAATGCTTTGCTTTCAATAAGGTTTTCCTTCCATGGTCATCAGTTCTGAATGACCACCAGCAACACTGGCAAGCAAGAACAGTACAGTGTCTCTATGTCAGTCAGGAACACATACAATCTATGTACACACCTGCTATTCCAAGTATTTGCAGAATAATAATAATACAGAATAACTGTCTGCATGAGGAGCTAAAAGATTTGATTTAGTGACTTGTGGTAGCAATGGTAACAGAAGGATGGTTGTACTAGGTGATCTTATAGGTCCTTTCCAACCTTGTGATTCTATGATTCTAACAGAATAACCTTAGTGCTGTTACCTCCTTAGCTAGTTCAATGTTTGGTTAATCACAGAATGGCCAGGGTTGGAAGGGACCTCAAAGATCATGAAGCTCCAACCCCGCTGCAACATACAGGGCCACCAACCTCCTCATTTAGTCCCAGACCAGGCTGCCCAGGGCCCCATCCAACCTGGCCTTGAACACCTCCAGGGATGAACGGGGCATCCACAGCCTCTCTGGGCAGCTGTTTGAGCACCTCACCACTCTCAAAATAAAGAATTTCCCCCTGACATCCAACCTCAATCTTCCCTCCCTCAACTTCAAACCATTTCCCTTTGTCCTGCTGTTATCTACCCTTTCAAAGAGTTGGTTCCCCTCCTCTTTGTAGGCTCCCTTTAGGTACTGAAAGGCTGCAATGAGGTCACCCCACAGCCTTCTCTTTTCCAGGCTGAACAAGCCCAGCTCCCTCAGCCTGCCTTCTGTCTTCATAGGGGAAGTGCTCCAGCCTTCCGATCCTCTTTGTGGCTCTCCTCTGGACCCTCTCCAACAGCTCCCTGTCTTCTTTGTACTGGGGGCTGCAGACCTGGGCACAGTATTCCAGATGGGGCCTCACAAGAGCAGAGTAGAGGGCAACAATCACCTCCCTGTCCCTGCTGGCCACTCCTCTCCTGATGGAGCCCAGGATCCCATTTGCTTTCCATGCTGCAAGAGCTCACTGCTGGCTCACATTCCGTTTTTCACCCACCAGGACCCCCAGGTCCTTCTCTGCAGGGCTGCTCTCAAGGATTGCTCCTTCCAGTCTGTATAGCATTAATGCCCCACTTCATAACAAAGCAGAAAAGCAAGCAGACACACGAGGACATTGATCACGCTCACTTCCATATGGATTCTCTGTCTGTGGGATACTTGGTTAGGTTTTTCAGCAGCTCCACCAGTGCAAGATGGATGCCTTCTTTAGTTGAGACGTTGGTGCAACACAACAGCTCGTGAAGAGCTTCTCGAATGTCCCTTGAAGAATCCTAAAAAATAAAAGCAAGAACCCTCAAATGCTCAATGCCTCTGAATGCTCAGAGAGAGAGAAGCCTGGGTATATACTTATTTTAAAGGCAGGAGATCCTGTTCCTCGGCTGAATTCATCCTAGAGGCATCAGTGAGCAGTAAGAGAATAGAAAGAACTTGACCCAACTATTTGTTTATAGGCGTACAATAAAAAAAACACGTAACACAAGCTACAAGTCTCATCATCAGCTTTGATATGACAACAAGGGATCCTTAATGCATCACTTCTGAAGCCACACTGCACCTACGCTGAACTTCAGGCCAGTGATATTGCAGAGAGAAGCTTATGCAGCCTTCAAGCAGTATTTCTGGAAGCAGCGTGGCTGAACTCCAGCTTCATTACTTGCCTCCTGCCAAATACCACCTTGCAGTTCCAAATTAATACAATAGACTTCCTTGCTGTCATTTTTGTGGCACTGGCGGACAGAATGTGAAAATTTGACAGGATACAAGTCTTAGACACATTTCAATAGAGGATTTTTTTAAAAGCATAATTTGCTAAATATCAACAGCACATTCATTACTGTCTTCCACAAAAAGAAAGAACAGCCCCCTTCGTAGAGGCTCTTCAACGACAGCCAACATACACAAACAAAGGAGGGAAACGCAGTGGTTACGCTCATCTGGTCCTTATTTGGGTGCTGCAAGGCAGGCTGTCACTGAGTGAGACGACGTGCTCTGAAGGCTGATGCAGTGGCTGGGGAAATAAAATAATCCAGGTGTGTTACATGGACTGCTGGGAAGGCAGAATGGAGATGAGCAAGGCAGAAGACTACCATGGGCCAAAGAGGTGTACAAGGTGACAGGAAGTGAGAATCACAACAGCACGACATGCAGAACGCGATGCTTGGTGAAAAAAGCAAGGAGCAGTTGATAGTTATTCAGGTAAAGGAAAAGTAGATGAACAAAAACAAAAAGTTACCATCACCATTAACAATTCAGACACCAAAGTTCATGCTGTTCTCCTAAATCCTTTATTTTGGTGTCAAAAGCTGGATTTTACTGCTGAAACAGAAAGCAAGTAAGCAAGCACCTTCCTGAACCAAGCACAATGAAAATGTGACAATTTTCATATTTCAGCTATTGTAATATAGATGACAAATCATAACAAAAGCACAAAAAGGAACACCAGTGTAACTGCCCTACACGTTTATACCTTAATGCAGAGGTTCCCAAGTGGAACAAATATGAAATAGATGCACAAATACCAGAGGCACCCAACACTCATTGCTGTGTTTTCAATCTCAGGTCGTATCATACAGCTCTTGTTACAGACAGATAAGCAGATTATCAGAGAACCATAGAATGGCTTGAGTTGGAAGGGACCATCAAGCTCTAACTCCCCTGCTGCAGGCAGGGCTGCCAACCTCCATATCTAATACTAGACCAGGCTGCCCGAGGCCCCATCCAACATAGCCTTAGTTTGCTTTATCCTGGAGCGCAACTGAGGGGTGTCACTGTAGCACAGGGTCAAGCAAATAGTGGGTAAAGAGACACACAGAATGCATTTTGAGTACCATCCAAGGCTGAGATATTGTCCCAGAGAAGCAGAGATTTGTCTACCACATGCAGCTGGGAACTGGCTGAGATAGTGATGGTCAGGAAAGGCCAAAACTACTCCAAGGAGTGCGCTAGAAATCAAGGGCTGGAAGAGTAGAGAGAGATCTCAGACCAGTGTGCTGGCTCTGCTCAGTGAACAAAAGGTACAACTGAAGTGGTAGAACAAAGAAAATTAAGTTGTATTCAACGTGAAACGTCACAAAGATGGACCAGAAAATGAGACAGAAGGAAATCCACGTGACACACCAGCAGTTAGCAAGGACAGCGAGCCTTTAATCTGAATATCATTTATTAAAAAAAAAAAAAACAACACCACAAAGAAAAAGCAAGAATGTAATGTTTCCCCCCTTGGGAAGGCCTTACCTCCAGAACAGCTAACACAGTATCCAGCTGGTCCTCCCGCAGCGTGATATTGTTGGAAATTTTCCTCATCGTGTGTATTGACTGCAACCTCACCTCCTCAATTTCATCATTAAACATGTCCACCAAAAAATCCAGGCATTTTTCCGCAAAAGAAGGTGAGGACTGAGCCAGCATGCAGAGGGCCTCCACTGCAGCAATCCGCACCTCTATTAGGAGAGGGGGGAAATCAGGCATTAGTGCTGTTTAAGAGGACGTGCCACCAACAGCCAGGCCCTGTAGCAGTGGAGCACTGGGCTAAGGACAGGAGCTCACAGAATGGCCTGGGGTGAAAAGGACCACAATCATCATCTTGTTTCAACCCCCTGCTGTGTGCAGGGCTGCCAACCACCAGACCAAGCTGCCCAGAGCCACATCCATCCAGCTAATAAATATTATGCATTTCATGGCACGTTTTGCAAGCGTAGCCGTAACTGTGGTACCTTAAGCAAGCTAATTTAGATAATTAAACTGCTCTCTTCATTCTTCCAGACATTTTAATTGCTAAGAGCATTCACTGCATTTTTAAGTAGCCACGCAGCACTTTGTGAATTGCTGAAAAGCCCAAGAGTACCAGTGTGTTACCAGCACACGGAATGAGCTTTCCCTGCTTCCTGACTTCCTCACAAGAAAGGACAAAGGTGTGCCCTAATTATCAAAATGACTCATAATTCAAGCAAAAGTAAAAATAAACAGAGGCGTCTAGAGAATGTTTCTGCTGTAAACCATAGTAGGAATTGAAAGAAGACCCAAATATAACAGACTTGCATGAAGATTCTTCCCCCCACAGCCATTCCTGCTAGCTTCCATAACATTCATGTGCTGGGATCATAAAAGGGAAGATTAATTAGACATCTTGCAAACACTGTTTAAAACATACTTCTACTTTTCATTCAAATTAGCTCATCTTGCAAACATTCATTTCAACTTGCGTGTAACGTTTAGGCCTATTGTTCTTAAAGAACATTTTGATTCCTGATGATTCTGATTAAGCAGAGAAATGCAAACACAGCGAGCCTTCCACTTCCACAGAACAAAGCCCGTGTCACAACGCTGAGTCTCCATGGTCATTAAGACCACGGTGCTGTTAGAGGCATTAGAGAAGAAAAAGCCCCAAGAAAACATTTGCCAATAGTGCATTCATGAGCTGACACATTCATTTAGATTGAAGTTACAGGATGGAATTGAAGAAACGAAGCAGCGCCGTGGGTAAGGAAGAATACAGCTCAGCAGTATTTAAAATACCACCGTGGAGACATATGTACACTCTTCAGAGTTCTGGTTATTTTCCACATCTGCCCATCTTACTGACATTCCCCAATAATCAAACTGGAGAATGCTTCACAGACAATGGATTGAGCCACACTGTCAGTCAGAAAGAAACAAGGCTGCGTGCTCGAGCTTCAGGGAGAGTGCAGCTATTGGGAAAACGTGGTTTAATTTGCAGGAGTCACAGAATAATAAATCAACTTTTACACCACAGCTTACAGAGATATTTTTGTTATGGTGTTTTTCTGCTGACTTCTTTACTGCCATCCTTCCAGCAAGGTTTAAAATTGAATTCAGGAACGACATTAGAGCTGCACCTCTTCATGGCTCTCAATAGCTTTTGCAAACCTTTGCTCTACACACAGGAAAGCTGGGCTAGAAAAGGCTGAACACAGACATTCCTGAGATCATCAGCACAGGCAGCGCTACAGCCATGCTCAGAAGCTGAAGAATGCTTGTGTTCCAATTTGACACTCATAATTTCCCCTGTTTAAAAGAGCAGGCCAGATATAATCTGCTGGAATGGGTGAGACAAAAGCCTCCACATCCATCACAGCAAGACCATGAGACCTGGTGCAACAGCACCACAGAGCAGGTAAATGTGATGGTGAAATGCAGGCATTTCCATTCAAGAAACAGAGCTACAATAACATGACGTAAACAAGCCCTCACCTGAAATCTACATATCTGAAAACACAAGAATCCAGTCATTAATTTTCAAGTAAAACATGTTCCAACTGCCCAAGAACATTCATGCCAGCAGGGACCAAGAGGAGCTTGACCTATGCAGCCCCCTGTGAGATGGAACTTGTCTTTTACTTCATTAGGAAAGCCAGACCTGATGAGAAGCAACTACTTAACCCGAAAGTACCACTAGCTAGGAAGAAATGGGCATTAGCTGGCTAGGCACAACCTGAGATTGGAATTTATAAGAAAACTTGTGTTCATTGGATTCTGAAACATCTTGAAGGACGTGGTGTGCCTCCCAGCACAAAGGTTCTAACCTCCTGACCCCCAAACAGACAAAAGGCTCCTCCATACATTCCAAGCAATTCAGTCACCGCATTAACACTTACCATACATTTCATCTTCCAGACCGTGAACAAAGGCTCCACAAGCTCCTGATTCAATCAGGTTCACAGCACCTGTATCGATTTCTTCTTTGGGAGCATCATCTCCCCATTTTCTGCCACTTGAGAACTCCCCAGAGCTGTAGAGCTCCTTGGCTCGCTCGTGCGCCGTGCGCTTCCTCTGCCCAAATACATTTCTCACAGTTACAACCATGGGAAACATGAAAGGTGACAGATTAGAACAGTAAATGGTTTTCTGAATTTTAAAACAGACATAGCTGGAAGCTCTTACCTCCTTACTATTTTGTAGGCCTGAGAAACTGAATGTAATACCTTCAGAAAGTTGCTCCAGGAAGGAGCTTTACTGAAAAGCTTTTTGCACAAGAGCCCCATTCTCCAGCTACTCACTGCTCCTAAGATGGGAGATGACTACCAAAGAGCTCTTGCAGGATGCTGCAGTCAGTTTGCTGCCAAAACCAGGATGCCAACTTTCTGTACACAATAAAGCTTAGAGCCAAATGGCCGTCAGAGGAACGCAAACATTTACCTCTCATCCACAAAACCTGAATGGCCTCAAGCTCTTCATTACACGGCTCGGTTAATGAAATCTGAAACTGGCAATTGCTTCACTGACTTTAATCTAACAGAAAACCTGTCATCATCAATTAACTCTCAGCAGCCCTGAGGCAAGGACGTGCTAAGCAAACAGGCTCTGCATTTCCACACCTGTTGTGTGATTTGAGTACTCTACACACAGCCAAAACAACTCCAGCACTGAGTGTTTACGTACCCGCAGATCTGACATGAGCTTCTTGTCAAGGGTTTGCTCTAAGAAATGGGAGCTCACTTGTTGCATAGAACCCTAAAGAAAAAAAGAAACATCCATCAAAAGGAAGCAAGAGGATTACTCTAAATTTCACCACACAATTTCTGGATATATCCCAACTCAGGGCCTGACAATATTTGTCCTTTCTAATAGCTTCACATGGTGCTCAACACTCAAACTCTACATCAGAGTTTGCTGAGGATTATCAGAACAGCTTATTTTCTCACTGAATCTAATACAGACTTTACTGGGTTCAGTTGTTAAAATGTGCTGGGGGGCAGTTATTCCAAGTACTTGTTTTAGGGATACCAACCCTGCAATCTCAAGGAGGGAATCACCACAGAGTTCAGCCGAGAGAAACAAAGCCAACACCCCACACTCAGCTTTTCTCCTGCTTTGAATTCTGACATGAATTTATGTGAGCAGTTTCTAAATTCCTCCCCATTTCTTTTTAAAGAGTTAAGTAGTGCAACGTGAACCCCTCAGAGAAGGATGAGACTTACCAATAATTTGGCAGCTTGTACTCTCACCACCCAGGAACCATCGCTAACCATGTGACAAATTTTCCCAAACGCATCATCAACCAACCGAATCTCTTCATTAGAAGAAGGAATGGGGACAATGCTAGCAGAGAAAAAAAGTCAGTCAGTTTGCTGGCTTCATCCAACATGGCATACAACTAAGAGCTGTGCTGAATTCCCATCAACACACAGTAAGCATCAGGAACAAAAACTTCAATCGAATGAATGCATTCTCATCAAGTGTCAGCAGCTGGTACACAGCATCCCTCTAACTGCTTCTCCTGAGACTTTCTGGCACAAAACACCCAGGATTAAGATACTGCAGTGGCACCGTTGAGTCCCTCTGTGTGCAGCACATACCTTTCAGGGTACAGTTGGCTGAGGACCCAAATTAGCTGAACTGCAGCACTGCGCACTTGTTCATAATCGTCTGCCAACAGCTTGCAAGCCTGAAAGATTTGCAGCCAATATAATCAATTTCCACTGATTTATGATCCTTAGCATATATCAGTTCAGATCATAAATAAGGACAAATTAAATCTTCCCTTCTACTAACATGTATTTCCAAGTTTGATCATCCTAATGAAGACTGTTAATCACATGAGGTATAGCTCCAAAACTGCCCGTATTCTGCAGGCAACACAAAGCATGAACATTTCCTAAGAGTAATCTGATACAGCCTGCAGCTCTGCAACCTTTTTGCCAGGACAAAGGGTGATGGATTTAAACTAAAACAGCAGAGATTTAGACCAGATGCAAGGAAGAAGTTCTTTACTATGTGGGTGGTGAGGCACTGGCCCAAAGAAGCTGGGGATGCCCCATCCCTGGGCAATGTTCAAGGCCAGGCTGGATGAGGCTTTGAGCAACCTGATTAGCAAAAGATGTTCTGGTCCATGACAGGGGATTTGCAATGAGATGATGGTCTCTCAAGTTTCTTTCCAGCCTACACCACTCCATGATTCTGTAACAAACAGCCACAGAATAGTAGAATCGTGAAGGTTGGAAAAGACCTTCAAGATCACAAAGTCCAACCCCACTCCCACCACTGACCACATCCACACAGTTCTTGAACACCTTCAGGGACAGTGCCTCCACCACCTCTCTGGGCAGTCTGTGCAGTGCCTGATTACTCCTTCAGAGACAAGATTTCTCCTAATACCCAGCCTGAACCTCTCCTGGCACAACTTGAGGCCATTCCCTCTCACGTAACACCCTCCAATGCACAAGGATTTAACACTGAGATTGCAAGATGACAGTAAGAATTCTGCAGTGCCTTGCTCCTCCTTTGCTCATCTCCCCCCAGCAAACAATCAATTTCAGTCACAGCACACACGTTAGTGCACTTGAAGTTGTAAAGCTCATTTTTATTTGCTGCCATGTGGCACTGCAAAGAACACACAGCATGCACATAAAATGCCCTCCCTCTGTTCAGAGCCTTCCACCTCTCGAAGCACAACGTCCCAGAATCCTGAAAAGCAAAGTATGCAAACCAACACAAAATAAATAGAAACAAAAATGAGGTTTTACCTGACCATAAATGGCCTGCTGCAGTTTCAGTCCTCTCTCGTGAAGCTGAAGCTATGGGGGGGAAAACCAGAACAACAAAAGAAAGAAACAACAATGAAATCAAACGATGGTTTTAAGTAACACACAATAAGTTTTCATCACTGTTTTTCCTGCTTTGCATAAAATTAATTGCTTGCATTTCTCAACTGTTATTGTAATTCAGCTGTTTCTCAAGCTTGGCTGTATCTTAAAGAAAACCTTGACTTTAGTGTAACCTTAAACTTCACAGCCACTTACACTTTGATTACTTAGGAAAATACAGTTCATATGAACACTCTGCCCATTCCCTCAGCCTTCAAGCAATTTTTCAGCACTGGCCAGTTTCAACCACTCCCTGAGACATGGACCCAAAAGCAGCACTGCCAGTGCATTTTCACAGCCAGAGGAACAGCAAAACCTGCCCTGCTAAACACTCCTAACATAAACAAACAACACAGTAGCAAGGAAAATTGTGATTAAAAACCCTAGGAACAGTTAGGGACCCTGAATTCATTCAGGATGCTTCCAAGCTCCAAACTAAAGCAAAACAGTTGACATTGTAGTGAAACTATTAAATTGAAGGTCATAAATCTTGCTATGGATTTGATTCATTGTCACTGCAGAAATGGTGGCAGGTGTAAGAATTTCTATGAAAAAAAAAAAGAAAGCAACAAAATAGAATGAAAATGAAGGATGAGTGCAGCCTCCAGCAGAGGGAGATCCCAGACAGACTCACACGCAGTCTGATCCTCTCTAATGCATCTTGTTTCCTTCTTCACAGTTCAATGGTGTCAGTTCAAATACCTTTGATCACCATCAGGTTAGATGGGGTAACTCTGTAAACTTTAAGGGTAGCAGAGAAAGTGCTACACCCCCATACAGTCACAGGAACTCACACTAAGCAAAGTTCTTAATGCACTGCCTATGCTTCTATTGCTGCAAAGCTAGAAAGTTCTGAATTTGCTGAATCCCACATGAAAATCAGTAACCAAAACACTGCCAAAAAAAAAAAAAAAAAAAAAAAAGCACACAAGTTTTCAGATTTAAACACACAAGGTTTCCTGTCACAATCAGTTTTCTATTAAATGCTGAAGTAATAGGGGCTTATTATTGTGGCAACCGACCCTGAATCAGGAAATGCAGACTTCTCACTACCTGCAATCATACCACGATATCCCAAATTAAAAAGCTTCTTCAGCTACAGCAGAAGCAGATCGCATTGAATCACAGAATTGCTCAGGGTGGAAAAGACCTTCAAGATCATCAAGTCCAACTGCAACCTAACCATACTGCCTTAACATATCATTATGAATCACTCTGAGATCTCATGAACTTCTTCTATTCATAACTTACCTTATTTCTCCAAGTAATTTTGATATGTTAAACTGGCACTAGTTCAGCATATGGACTAGCTCTAGTCCAAACCTCTCTGGATTAATTTGCACATCCTTCCCATCTTTCTTATCAAACCCCAATTTCTTCCATCACACCAGCACTCCTTACCATGGCTTTTATAGCTGCTGTTCTAACACGAGGGTCCTGGTCATTAAAATGATCTCCTATGATCTTCTGGACATCTTTGGCAGCCTGGCTTTCAGCCTCTTTTGCAACACCTTTTTCCACCGGTCCAAGACAGCCAATTAACTGAAGACACTTATTTCTTACACCGTGGGAAGAATCTGTCAGGTGCTATGGGACACAAGAGAAGAAAAGATCTAACTGGGTTTTTAAATTGTTCTTTTCTCTCTTCAAAACAGCCAGAGTAAAATTCCCAGCAATTATGAAATGTTAATATTTTAGTAGAACAAGATTAAGTAAATACTGACAACGTACTTTTTCCTCTGGCAGAGATAAATATTTAAACAGATTATTAACACATTTGCTTAATGCTTTCTATCAATAACTTATTAACAGGAAGAGTGTTTCTAAATAACAGCTACAGAAAGCAGACATGCTTACAAAAGCATACGAAGGAAGAGGCAGTAACTGAGAGAGCAGTGAATCCAGTGTTGTTTACAGACTTGTCAACTGCACCCAGTGCTGTGCTCACAACACATTTGGTTTCAAGTTGCTCTCCTTTAAGATTTAGTACCTTGAGCTCTCTCCCAAAACAGACTGAATCCAAATTCAGCATGCAAGAGCAGAGCTTTGCCCTTCAGCAGTACTGATGTCCTCAGGGAGGCAGCCTTACCTTGCAAGCCACCTCTACCAGCCTCATCCTGACAGATGGGTTCTCTGGGAGCTTTGTGCCAATCACCAGCAGGGTGTCCAGCAGCTGAGCAAGGACTTGGTGAGACTCTGCAAAACAAAGCAGGGAAAGGTTATGCACCTCTTTGCTGAGCTCCAGAACCACAGAATCACTCTGGTTGGAAGGTCCTCCTGGAGCCTTTTCCTTCAGAGGAGAAAAGAAGCCCAGTTTCCTTGGCTTCTCCTTGCAGATAACATACTAAAGCCACCAATCACCTTGGTACCAGGCCAGGCTGGACGGGGCCCTGGGCAGCCTGGTTTAGTACCAGATCTGGAGGCTGGTAGACCTGACTGCAGCAGGGGGATTGGAGCTTGATGATCTTTGAGGTCCCTTCCAACCCAAGCCATTTATGATTCACCTGTCACTAAGTGATACTAAAATAAACTTAAACTTCATCAAGAACATACAAGCAGTGAATATAAAACAGAAAATAAAAACGGACTTCAATGAAGACACAAACAGAATCACCTGTACTTCACTGTCTATTAGAAAACCAATGTTACTACACTAATGCCCTGATGAGCTGCTTTGCAGTACACTAAGGAAAAACACTGCTCCTAACAAGATTCCACTTCAAGCAAGGCCTGAAAGGCATCTGAAAAAACTCAACTTACTCTCATTCTGAAGTGTGTTAATGGCATCATCCACAATGCAGTCTGGGGAAAATCCTGGAGTCTTCGATAACAAACCCAGCAAGGAAGCAATCTTCAGTCTTACAGAAGCATCATTCTCCTGGAAGGAAGCAACAGATATGAGGAGCAAGTTTTTCCCACAGAGGGTGGTGAGGCACTGGAACAGGTTGCCCAAGGAGGCTGTGGATGCCCCATCCCTGCAGGCATTCAAGGCCAGGCTGGATGTGGCTCTGGGCAGCCTGGGCTGCTGTTGGTGACCTGCACACAGCAGGGGGTTGGAACTGGATAAGCATTGTGGTCCTTTGCAACCCAGACAATTCTATTATTCTCTCATTTTTCAGCTGGGAGAGCAAAACACTCTGCAGGGAGGCAGGATCCATTCACATTTCAGCACAAGGGACCAAACTTTGCCATAAGGTTCCTTCCTCCTCTATGCTCCACCTTGCAGTAAGTCAATCACACCAAAAATGTTCCTCTTGCAGCTTCCACTACACTACAAATTAACTCTTTTACCTCTTAATTTCTGAGTAATTACTCATTATTGTTTGAAAATAAAAGTTTAAATAATCAGGGTTTCAGGATTCTGAAAAACTCCCTGTTAATGTTCCTATCTTGGAAGTTAAAATAAACAAATGGGAGGATTTTAGAAGATGAACTGACACTGATGGTCTTTGGATTTCAGCTAAGCGTTGGGCTCCATAGCCTAGAGAAAAAGTTCACAGCAAGGAGGAATCCTGCTAGAAAGATATAAGCAGATATAAGATAGGAAGATACAAAGCAAACAAACCCAAGGCAGCAAGGTTAAAAAAAAATAAATAGGAGCACATGTTAGCTGATACACCTCTAAACGCAGTCACATGTGGTGATTACATAAATCAGCTTCACAAATTATCATTAATTTTAAGTTCTTTAAGAGCTCATGTATTTTAAAGGGCTGTAAATAGGAGTATTCCACAGACCTGTGCACTCAGCACTTCCAGTCCTAATTGGGAGCCCTCTTCCATCCTCACATTGCATGGATATCCAACAGAAGGACACAAAGGAGTCTGGATTTTACACTCAGCTCTCTCCAATGCACCTCTGTATTCAGCACTGCAATTCTGCACCTCTCTTATCACAGCAATGACACCTTTCAACAGCGTTTAGGAGAGACTCCAAGAGCAGCAGCAGGCCCCTAAGTCACTGCATCTCTAACCCCTCAACCCAACAACCCTCAACAGTTGAAAAGAGCCCCCTGGGATCCGTTCAGGCACTGTCTGATGGCACACCATTTCTGCCAGCAACAACCACCTCATTCTGTGCCACCAGCCCAGGGACAATGATCCAACTGTCAGCAAACTGTCAGAAAAGCCTAGGGAAAGAGGAAGCGGCAGATGATTTTTCTGATGCTTTTCAGAGAGCAGTTCCCAAACTGTCCTGTTTGCCCATCATATTGTAAAGGAAACAAGGAACAACAACAACAGTCAGTCACACTCCAACAACAAATACAGAGACTGACGAAATCCTTACAGCTCTAGCATCAATTCAAAGCTTTTGGTACCTAAGGGGAGCCCACAAACAGGAGGGGAGTCAGCTCTTGGAAAGGGGAGATGACAGCACGACAAGAGGAAATGGTTTGAAGTTGAGGGAGGGAAGATTTGGGATGGATGTCAGGGGGAAATTCTTTAGAGAGTGGTGAGGTGCTGGAACAGCTGCCCAGAGAGGCTGTGGATGCCCCGTCCATCCCTGGAGGTGTTCAAGGCCAGGTTGGATGGGGCCCTGGGCAGCCTGGTCTAATATTAGATATGGTGGTTGGTGGCCCTGGATGCTGCAGGGGGGGGTGGAGCTTGATGATCCTTGAGGTCCGTTCCAACCCAAGCCATTCTATCAAAGTAGAGAAGATCCAAATGAAAAGAAAAGAAAGAATAGCAGAAGGACATTTACAAGAAATAGCACATATCTCTGTTAGCAACAATCGAATTTGAGTTATCAAGTGAAGGATCAATATCTGGATGGCATAAAGCATCTATTTTTTTATCTTGTTGTTCAGAATTTTTTGTTGGTTGAAGAAAAAAAAAAAAAAAAAAAGTCTACCACTTCTGCTTTTTAGCAGTGTCATTTAGAAGTGGTCTGCATTGTAAGCTATAGCTAAAAAATTTCCGTACTCTCAAAAGAAATTAAGCAGGATTTAGATAAAGTTGAGCCAGCTTTGGACAACTGGGTTACTTGGAAAACTTCTTGTCATGCCATCTGCTCCTTGTTAAGCTGATGCAAACTAATCATGCAGATCACCTGCAGGAATCATGGAATCATTAAAGTTGGAAAAGACCTCTAAGATCACCAAGTCCAACCCCAGCCCGTCCCACCATGCCCACTGACCACGTAATAGAATCATAGAATCACAAGGTTGGAAATGACCTGCAAGATCATCTAGTCCAACCGTCCTCCCATCACCACTGCCACCACAAGCACCAAACCACATCTCGTAGCTCCTCATCCAGACGCCTGTTGAACACTGCCAGGGACGGCGACTCCACCACCTCCCTGGGCAGCCATTCCAGTGCCTGACCACTCTCCGAGAGAAAAAGTTCTTCCTTATGTCCAACCTAAACCTCCTCTGGTACAACTTGCGGCCACTGCCCCATGTGCTGCTCGTTGCCTGGGAGAAGAGGCCAAATCCCTCTTCACCACAGCCTCCCTTCAGGAGGTTGTAGAGAGCAATGAGGTCTCCCCTGAGCCTCCTCTTCTCCAGATTGAACAATCCCAGCTCCCTCAGCCGCTCCTCATAAGACTTGTGCTCCAGACCCCTCACCAGTTTTGTAGCCCTTCTCTGCACATGCTCCAGGACTTCAACATCTTTCCTGTAGTGAGGGGCCCAAAACTGAACACAGTACTCAAGGTGCAGCCTCACCAGAGCTGAGTACAGGGGATGCTCACCTCCCTGCTCCTGCTGGCCACACTGTTTCTAATGCAGGCCAGGATGCCGTTGGCCCTCTTGGCCACCTGGGCACACTGTGGGCTCATGTTCAGCCAAGCACCAACCAACACCCCCAGGTCCTTCTCTTCTTCACACTCACAGCCACTCATCCCCAAGCCTATAGCACTGCATGGGGATGTTGTGCCCAAAGTGCAGAACCTGACACTTGGCCTTGCTGAACCTCATCCTGTTCACCTCAGCCTGTCTAAATCCCTCTGAAGGGCAACCCTACCCTCAGGCAGATCAACACCACCTCCCAGCTTGGTGTCATCTGCAAACTTGCTGAGGGTGCACTCGATGCCCTCATCAAGGTCATCAATAAAGATATTAAACAAGATGGGCCCCAGCACCGACCCCTGGGGGACTCCACTTGAAAAAGGTCACCAGCTGGACTTCACTCCATTCACCACGACCCGCTGGGCACGGCCCTGTAGCCAGTTCCTTACCCAAAGAAATATATATCTGTTCAGACCACGGGCAGCCAGTTTCCCCAGAAGAAGCCTGTGAGGGACCGTGTCAAAGGCTTTGCTGAAGTCTAGGAAGACTACATCAACAGCCCTTCCCTCATCTATCAGACTAGTCACCCAGTCATAGACGTCCCTCAGTGCCACATCTCCTCCATGGCTTTTGAACACCTCCAGGGACGGTGATTCCACCACCTCTCTGGGCAGCCTGTGCCATTACATAAGCACACTTTCAGGGATTTTTTTCTAATATCCTACCTGAACCTTCCCCAGTGCAACCTGAGGCCATTACCTCCTGTCTCACTTCCCTGTCACCAAGTCCTGAAACTGCTAAAACCAAGTGACATGAGCTGTAACCACACAGGTGAAGGACTACAACCACTCACTGTCCTCACACAACACTGTTGGCAACTGAGATTGCAACACAGCAAACAGCAGCTTCCCATCCTACCTCCAACCATATCCCAAGACAAAAGGTCAGAATGGGGTTTCTGGCAGATCTTTGGCTCTCAGCTTCATTACCTTATAATAATGCTCCAGCAGGATTCGGACAACCCCTTCCACGCTTTCCACTTCCACAGGCTTCCTGGCAAACTGCAGCAGGTACTGCAAGGCATCTGCAGGCGAGGTGGCTTTACACAGGTCGACATGGAGCGCTGCTGACTTGCTGGGCTTGGTCAGCCGCAGTTTCTTAGCAGACAGGTCCTCATGCTGCTGCTGTGGGCCAGAGACAGAGCAACACAATTCAGAAACACCATGCAAATCCTTCCCAGAGCAAACTGCTTCCCACAAAGGCAGCCCGAGGGAGTTCCTGCACCCCACCACAGACACCGCAGACACTGCCCTTTCCCTTACCTGTCACAGAACAGTATCTATCCTGGAAATACATTCCATAGAATCATTAAATGGCCAGGGTTGGAAGGGACCTCAAGGATCACGAAGCTCCAACCCCCTTGCCAACCTCCACATCTAATACTACACCAGACTGCCCAGGGCCCCCTCCAACCTGGCCTTGAACACCTCCAGGGATGGGGCATCCACAGTCTTTCTGAGCAGCTGTTCCAGCACCTCAACCACTCTCTCTGTAAAGAATTTCCCCCTGACATCCAACCTCAATCTTCCCTCCTTCAACTTCAAACCATTTCCCTTTGTCTTGCTATTATCTACCCTTTCAAAGAGTTGATTCCCCTCCTGTTTGTAGGCTCCCTTTAGGTACTGAAAGGCTGCAATGAGGTCACCCCACAGCCTTCTCTTCTCCAGGCTGAACAAGCCCAGATCCCTCAGCCTGCCTTCTGTCTTCATAGGGGAGGTGCTCCAGCCTTCTGATCCTCTTTGTGGCTCTCCTCTGGACCCTCTCCAACAGCTCCCTGTCTTCTTTGTACTGGGGGCTGCAGACTTGGGCACAGAACTCCAGATGGGGCCTCACAAGAGCAGAGTAGAAGGGGACAATCACCTCCCTGTCCCTGCTGGCCACCCCTCTCCTGATGGAGCCCAGGATACCATTTGCTTTCCGAGCTGCAAGAACACACTGCTGGCTCACGCTCTGTTTTTCATCCATCAGGACCCCCAGGTTCTTCTCTGCAAGGCTAGATTTCCCAGCCCACTGGGGCAGCTCCCACCCTCAGGTGAGCACTACATCTCCTCAAGTTGCTCTGCCCCTTTCAACCCCTTCTCCTACACCTCCCAGCTGCCCTCTCCCTCCCCGAGCTGAGGCCACCACATCCCCCGCATCTCCCCCAAGGCCTGCAGTAACCCACCCCAAACCTGAGGCAGCCCCAGCGCTCCCCTTATCCCTGGAAGCCACCCCTGGGTTAGGCCCCAGGCTGCTACCACCGCCCTTCCCACACTCACCGGAATCACCCTACAGAGCTCGGAGCTCTCCTCGCTCACCTGGACCACCTTGGTGAACTCCTCGTACACCCGCTTCTTCAGGTGTGCCGCCATGTCGCGGCCGCCCTACGCGCCCCTCCCCCCACCGCCAAACCATAGAGTCGCCCTCTCGTGACGTAGCGAACGGAGAGTACTCTCTTTCCACCTGGAGGTTCCGCTCTATGGTCAGGAGGTCTGGGCTGGGAGGCCTCCTGTTGCCATGGGAAGGCGCGCTGCGTTCAAGATGGCGGCTGCGGCCTGCTCCGCCTCGGGGTTGGTGTCGTCACCCAGCGGGTGCGCTGGAGCTCGGTTTTCCTCATCAATACGCGCCGTACGGAGCCGAGTGTCAGCAGCTCCGACGGGGGATGCCATCACACAAACCCCAGCGAGTCTGCTCAGCTGCGGGTTTATTATTTAATATTATGTGTGAGAAGTGCTGGTGTCTCCCTCAGGTTTTTCCCAGTGCCCAGTAAAAGATAACGCAAAACCACAGGGACACACAAAGAAGAGCCATCCCTCCTCTTCCCAGTTGCAACAAAATTCTTCATCGTGTCACAGAACCATTAAGGATCGAAAAGACCTCTAGGATCCCCAAGCCCACCCCCATCCCAGCCCCCCATGCCCACTGACCACGTCCCTCAGTGCCACATCCCACCTGAGCACCTCCAGCAGCAGTGACCCCTCGCACGCTCCCAGCTCCTCTAAAGATCATCTGCTCCAACTCCCCTGCAATGAACAGGGACACCTACAGCTCTACCAGGTTACTCAGAGCCCCGTCCAGCCTGACCCTGTGTGTCTCCGGGACATTAAAGGCAAGCTGTGCATTGGACACAGCCAAACACATAATGCAGCCTTCAAGTGTGTCTCCTTCAAGGAGAGGGGAAAGGGGGGCAGCAGCACCAAAGAGCCCCTGTGACAAGTATCTGTCTAGAGGCAGTTAGAAATACAGCATGTAAGATAGCCAGGGATAGCTGCACGTGGACATCTTAGGGATAAAATGATCTGTGAAGGGATTGGAGTATAAAGCTTTTCAACTTGTCTATCAGTGTCACCGGTATCAGCTAAAAAATCATAGAATCGTAGAATATTCCGAGCTAAAAGGGGCATAAGGATCATCCAGTCCAGCTCCTGGCTCCACACAGCACCACCCAAAGATAGAATCATAGAATCACCAAGGTTGGAAAAGACCTAAAAGCTCATCCAGTCCAACCGTTCACCTATTCCCAATAGCTCCCACTAAACCATGTCCCTCAACACAACATCCAGCCATTCCTTGAACACCCCCAGGCTCGGTGACTCCACCACCTCCCTGGGCATCCATTCCAGTGCCTGACCACCCTTTCTGAAAAGTAATACTTCCTCATGTCCAGATTGGACCATTTGAGAGCATTGTAGAGGAAATACATCCATAATCAAATTAGCTGTGATGACTTAAACATCCCAGAGTTATTAAAACGATCTTAATGGCTGTCTCCAGTAAAAAACGTACAAGACAAACAAACAAAATACCAACTTTGGAATGCTCAGATTTTTTAAACACAGTGTAGGAACCAACTCATGTTCTGTTAAGAATCGCCTCTGGGCCCCAGGCTTTCACTTCAGTAGCATTTCCTTCCAGTCAAATCACAGGGGGGTTTCCCTAAACTTATACATTTAAAAATAGTGTTGTGATAACAGTGAATGGCACAAGACGAAAGGTTGAAATAGGGTGACATGAGAGAGAAGCATGGTTCTTTAGGTTACATTTCATCAGTGATTTTTACCTCTTCTTCATAAAATTGTAGAATCCCCAGTTCGAAGGGGCCCATAAAAGATATAATCGTAAGATCATTAAAGATCCAAATCTAAGTTGAGCAAGTATTTACACAGCTTTCAGGGATTCCACTTGAAATGGTGCAGATGCAATTTTTTTTCATCAGAGAGGTCATGCCTGGCAATACATGAGAAACATAAGTGAAGCATTAATCAGAAGAAAGCTTTTATGTATTCCCCTCGTTTCTCTCAACAATAGTTCAAAATCTGATCTGTTGCTTTTCAAAGATGGTTTTTTTTTCAACATTGCAGCTGTGAGCTAGCATTTAAAGGTTAGTCTGTGTGCTTTATGGACAGACCATTGTCTGTCTTTACCTAGAATAAATCTGTGGACCAGACTGCTGCACTCCATACAGCAGATCCTAACTTATGAGGAGTATTCACCATGAGGAGAAGGCTCTGAGGACAGCAGGTTAGGGTGAATGTGCTCTGTAGCTCTCAGTATTTATGACTCAAAATAAGGCAGAGTGGGAGACCTGTCCACGTGCTACTCCTAACCCTACTAGCAACTCTGGACTCTGAGGTAGTAATTTGTTCCAGCTTCTATTGAGAGACCAACTTCCCATGTCCACAAGACACATTTGGACATACTCATTTCTCTTAGGTTGAGTGCAGTTTGCTCAACTTCAGGTCTGGCTCCCAGTTCAAAACACATACCTTGAAAATTGTACACTTAACCGTTAATGCCCAACAAAACAGTGGCTCTCAAATGTTCTTTAATTTGGCAAACCACCAAAGAAGAGACTTTTATGGGCCCACGCGTTTCTTCCTGTCCCTCCAGTAGTCCAGGGCTTAGTCTCCACAGCCCAAGTTCATTTGTTTTGATAACTGGTTTCTTCAACTCTCCATCAACAAAGGCACTTTGCTACCACCAGGTGAACCGGATTATGTGGAAGAAATCCTGGGATTTGAAGCGAAACCCTTTTTCAGCACCATGAGCATGTAAGGAGATTTCGTACCCTTTGTCTTTCACGTCCATTTGAATGCAGTCCAGTAAATCATAAATAGTTGGAGCTGCCTTCCAGGGGCCAAATTTCACCACGGATTTTTTATCCATATCCAAGCTGTTCAAGGCATCCTGACACCTGGCCACGTCTTCCTCCGTTTTGACAACACATATGATGACGCTGGAGTAGCGGGACGCGACCGCTTCAGCCCGTGCGATGCGGATCATCAGCTCCACGTTCTCACTGTAGCTGGGCACACGGGCCAGGAACTGCTTCCTTGCCACACGTTCCCCAAAAATCTGAGGGGAGTCCTCCAGCTGCTTGATTAAGGGTTCAATGTCGTAGAACAAAGCTTCCTTGTAGACATCCTGGATGCACTGGGTGGGCACCTGGTTACTACGCAGATATTCCAAGATATATTTGAAGTAGGTCCCTGGCCTGTCAATGAAGATCCTCCCTTTGGAGTCTGTCCTGAGTTTGTGCTGGCCGGTGAACATCTCTGCCAGCTTGGAACCGGGGTGTTTCTTCAAAGTGCTCAGCGTTGTCGTGTACATCTCCCCGCCGACGTTCAGCTCCACGATTGGTGGCAACTACAGATGTCACAAGGGGAGAAAAACCACACATGTAAGACATTGGAGGTTGCCAACACGGAAGAATCAAGGAAAAAATACAATTGCAACTGGAAGCTCTCGTGGCAGTGTAAAAAGCAGGATGAGTCATAGAATCACCAAGGTTGGAAAAGACCTACAAGATCATCCAGTCCAACCATCCACCAATCGCCAATACTTCGCACTAAACCACGTCCCTCAACACAACATCTAAATGTTCCTTGAACACCTCCAGGGTCGGTGACTCTACCAGCTCCCTGGGCAGCCCATTCCAGTGCCTGTCCACCGTCCCATGGAGGACAGGTGAGAATATCTACACCACACACCACGTATTGCTAAAAGCAGCCGCAGGATATTTATATTTGGCCCTCGTACCCAGATCAGCAGAAGCATGGATATTTTTGAATGGATTCATCTTCACCACACCTTTAGGACTTAGGAAAGGGTCATTTTGCTGATATCTGAGGTGCAGTGCAATATCTGTTTAACTGTGCATTTGATAGGAAGTAAAGAGAATCATAGAATTATAGAATCATAGAATGGCTTCCATGGGCTGGAAGGGACCTCAAAGATCATCTTGTTCCAGTTCCTTTTTTTGCAGACAGGGCTGCTGATCGCTAGATCAAGCACGAGATCACATTGCTCAGGATCCCATCTAGCCTGGCCTTGAACACCTGCAGGGACAGGGCAAAATAGTTTGTGCAACTGATGTGGATTTAAGAACTAAGATTTAATGTTTGGATTTTTATCTCTATTTATTTTATTTCACTGTGCATTAATGCCACTGCTATTTGAAACAGGAGAGGCCTGAATGCCCAGAGAGCTGAACCTGGAGTCACTTCTGACGACATTCCTGACTTATTTCAATGCTGAAGAATTTTAACAGCAATCTTTGCATTTTTGTAGCACTTGGGAGAGCAGGAGGAGAAGGAAGAAATGAGGCAGTTCTTTTCCCTCCCTCTGCCAGTCCAGTAATGCAAGTCATATGCCTGGCCAGGACCGCACCTGTACTGGGAAGGCTTGAGTCAATAAACAACCCTTTTCTCCAGGAGCTCACCTGCTCTTTCTTGGATCTGATCACACAGCGATCTGCTTCAGTGCTACCAGTCACATGCTTCAGCGTGTACCTAAGAGCTTAGCTGGATCCAGCCTGTGGTGCCCTGTGGGTACGTACCCACAGGATGAGATGACATGAGCTGATCTCACTGTTACACCAGGACAAAGGGGAGGCTCCTGCTGCCCTCTCCCCTGTCTTTCCTTGTCCCTGCTTCTTACTTTGTGCCAGCTCTGTTTCTCCTTCATTTTAGCAAGCTGAAGTGGCTCGCAGAGGATTTAACTAGCACCCGAGCTAGCAAAATGAGGGGACAGGAACAGACAACTCATAGCAGAGGGAGATTATGTCTTTTAAATGACAGCAAGCTGTAAGGTTTAGCAGCAATGACTTCAGAGTGTAGGGAAACCAGGACACAACAGGAGATTCAGGACAAAGACCCAGCTGGAGAATTGCTTTGCTCTAATGTAGGTGGCTTCATCTCCAGGGCAATTATTTGCACCAGGGCCAAGAGAACATAAAAGGATTCTGTCTGACAGTATGTAGTGTAAAGAGCATGGCCCAAAGCTGTTTCTGTAGCAAAGCCTAGCAGTTAGAAAATCTGCCATTAGTCCAAGTGATAACAACAGCTTCTCCTGTCAGGCATCGTTTGTCAGGAGGGTCTCACGCTTTTGAGCCTCTTTTTTTAAGATGGAAGGTCAAGGCAAACCAGTTAGTAATAGGTCCAGGGAGGGGAAAGTAAAACATTGTCTGATTTCTGCTCAGTAAAATGCCCCTTGTCTTGTGGTTAACACTGATTTTCCTTAAAGCTCAAAAAACCACTGCTCCCAGCTGCTAATTCTGCACATCTTAAGCACCGAGCAAATTACTCATCATTGGAGACCACTGAAAAACCCCTGAATACACAGAGGGCTTTTACTCAGGGATCTGGCAAATTAAAGTTAACTTCAAATGAACTACATAGTCTGCAAAGGAGAAAAATAACCAGTGAGGTTGATTGCTGTAGCTTTGTGCACCTCCAAGGGACATTGCCTTGCTTTAACCAGGCTGGTGCAAACAGCTTGGAGTCAAACACAGCTTTTCACCTAGAATTCCCGCCTTGCTCACACATCTGGCATGCCCCTGTGCCTTCAAAGTATCAGATGGACGCAAAAGAATGCTGTAACTAACCCAAAGGGGATGCTCTGATCCCAGAAGGGGGGATCCCAGAAGGGCCATGCCCCCAAACCTGCACTGTACTCACCATATGCTGGCTGCCAGTGACCTGCTTCCCGATGGGCTTGTGCTCCGAGGAAATGCTCATCTCTCCTCGTTGTCCTCCAGCTCACTTTTCAGCAGATTCTCCTTCAGTGGGTCAGGCTCTTGCCCAACTGCTGCCCCTCAAACTTGAGAATGCCCCACGCACAGCACGGGCTGCAGGTCTGGCCAGAGGGGAGGGAGCAGCACGGAAGCGGAACTGTTTGCTCCTTAGTTTTCTGGCAATCAGCAAGCAGCAGCAGGGCGGATTTGGGCTGGCTGCCATCACTCATTCACCTGCAGATGTCAGAGCTGAATCAGCCCTTCCAAAGGAGGCCCAGCTTTCCTGAGGAATCCCACAGCCTCTGCCTGAGTTGGATCAAAACCTGTACACACTTTTGGTGCTTGTTAGCGTTTGCATGCTGCTCTTTTAGTGATGCATGTCCCAAACCATGTCACCGATCCCACCGCTGTGCCTGGCAGTGTCAGAGCAGGGTGCTGGCCATAAAGCCAGGTCATGTTATTTTCCTCATTGCCAATGCAGTCTCCAGGCTCAGAGTAATTTGTGCAGGGTAAATAAAACCAGTCCTGAATCTCCACTGGTACAGATGGACAAAACCATGCGGGCTCTGATTTCTCTGTCAGCTTCTCTTTCAGCTTACTTGTGTGCTTTTTCTGTTTTTTTTTTTTCCAGTTTTATCTGTTGGTCTCATGAAAAATGTTATCTGCTCAACCAGCCTTGCTGTCTTTCATTTCAGGCTGCTTCCTTTACCAGCAACAAAAGGGAAAAAGGGAATCAGTGTTGTGGTTTAAGCCCCAGGTGGCTGAGCACCCACTGGGAGTTAGAACTCATGGACTGAGATAGAATTATTTACTAAGATAGAGAAAAGGATAATAATTATGACAAATATTTATATATATGAATGTATTTAACAAGTGATGCACAAGCAATTGCTCACCAGTCCCCAACTGGTGCCCAGCTAGAAGAAGAGAGTGATATCAACTCCCACCCCCTTCACATGCATGATGTCATATAATATGGAATATCCCTTTGGCCAGTTTAAGTTGTCCCTCCTAGTTCTGTTCTCTCCCAGTTCCTTAGGCCCTTCACTGAGAATGGCCTTGGCTCTGTTCAACCTCATTAGCAGCAACTATAAACATTGGTGTGTCATCAACATTGCTTTTCTCCTACAAACAAAACATAGCATCATACAAAGAAAACAGTTCAATCCCAGCTGAAACCAAGACATGCTTCCAAATCATCAAGACAGGAAAAGACCTCTAAGATCATCTAGTACAAGCCCAACCCATCCCCACCATGCCCACTGTGTCCCTCAGTGCCACATCTCCACAGTTCTCGAGCACCTCCAGGGAAGTTATTGCACCGCCTCCCTAAGCAGCCTCTTCCAGTACTTGGTATTTTTTTTTTTTGAGAAGAAATTTTTCCTAATATCCAACCTGGAGCAACTTGAGGCCTCTCTTTCTATTGCTTTTATTGGATCTTCACCTCACCACTACTTGCTTTCAGGGATTTGCTGAGCAACAAGGTCTCCCCTGAGCCTCCTCTTCTCCAGACTGAACCATCCCAGTTCCCTCATCTGCTCCCTGCAAGACTGTGCTCCTGACCTTTCACGGGCTAGCTGCCCTTCTTCAGACACATCTTTAAAAATGAACACTTACTGGAAAAAAAAAGCTGGAAGATCTGAGTGTTCTTAGCCTTTAATTCCTGCAAATCCCATTCATTCATCTTGCTCATCCAAAAGTGTCCTACATATGACTGACAGAGGTGGAACCCATACTTTTTTGACACAGCTTCAGTGCTGGAGATGACAGCCTTCTCTTTTGCAGCTGTAGAACTGGATGGATGGACAGAATGTGGACAATTTCCCTGTACTACAACCAAAGGAGATTGGTGTGGTTGAGAACAAACATTCAGTGCCACAATCAGATCCTTACCACATCAGCACAAGGAATAGCTGCTAGCTGTCATCTACAGCTCTTCTACCTTACAAGGCCCACTACAGCCATTTCTTCAGTCCAAAGGACATAGTGGACAGGTTCCCTCACTCTCTCACTCCTTTTTTACATCCTGGACACTTTTGCCAGCACGCTATAGAACAAAGAATCGGCATTTTGAGATATTTGGCTGGAAGTTGCCACCTATGTGGAAAATCTGATTGTTATTATTCAGGCTTCTTCTGGAACTTCTTAACCCCACTCACTTGAAGATGTCATTTTTCAGTCCTGCTATGCACATTTTTTCTCTCTTTTTTGGTAAGGATTTGATTTAAAATGCCATAGTCATCTGATCTGAGAAGGGGCCTGAGGAAAAGCTGTCTCACAGCCCAAGCCATTGGCATACCACTACCTACCCATTGGGCCTCTGTGCCTTTCTTTTTGGCAGTCACATCAGAGATGGCAGCCTGGATTACTGGGACCACACATCTGATCTGTATGGTGTCCCAGCCATGGAAAGCTTTGCAGGGAGTCATCTCTCTGCATCAAAGCCCTCTGGGCCTGCACTAAAGGGAAGCAGTCACTTTTGTAGTTCATCACTCCTCCTTTTACCCCCATGGTCAAAGTGATGCTGAGGAAACCAGTGGGTGGGAAGCAAACACTGAAAGGCAAAAGTGAGATCATGGCTCTGGAGGGGGCTGGAGGGCTCTCAGCACTCCATGCTGCGGGTATCAGCTAACCCAGGCTGGTTCAAATTCCATTCTTCCCTTGGGAGAGAAGTGAAAAGCCAAAAGCACGAATGTCTCCGTAGCCTTGGGCAACCCTGTCCTGGGATTCCCACAGCCCCATTGTGGCTCTTGCTCCGCACTCCCTGGGAGGCCTTGGCCACCACTGTGCTGTTTCTGGGACTTTAGCTGGCTTTCTCCCTTTGGGGAATGAAATTTGCTTTGTATTAAGCTGGAATTCCTACCCAGGGTCTCTGCTGGGCTTTATTGTTACCGCTTGACTCGGATCCCTGAAATCCCTCATCCTTTCTGAAAGCTGTCTCTGATGCACTGATGGTCTTTTGGAGACCAACCTGTTTGCTGCAGAGCAGGGAAGGAGATCTCTGAGGAAGTTTGCTGAATAGATTGAGAAGAATCAGCAAGGTGCTGATCTGAGAACTTGGGAATCTGGGGGATAGCCAAGGGGAAACAAGATGTGGTGGTGGGTGAAGGTCCTGGTGTTTGTTTTCTGTAGGTGCCATCGCCTTTCATCTAGAAGAACACTGGTGCTTCTCCTATCAAAGGAGTGAGCTAGAATGAGAAAACATGGAATTGCTGTGGTTTCTGGGGCACCCTATGAATGAGGAGAGATTAGCTAGTAGGATGGCAAGAAGCTCGAAGCGCTGCTACAGCCTTCAGCTGTGTCACCTTTACAGATCCCTTCCTCTTCTCGTAGAGAAGGTCACCATGACCAATTGGAGAGGCTGGCTGCCAAAATGGGCCATGGAACCTGAGGAGGACGAGCAACAGGACCATGAGATGTTCTCCATTCCTCTGCTGGCTCCATGCACACAATAATGCTTCGAGCCTCTTGCCTACCCTTAGAGCGGCTTCTTTTTCTGACATTGCTTTTGTAGGCATTTCAAAAATAGGTCTCCTTCTGTCCCCATCTCCAAGGACATCTCCAAGAGTGCAAGCTCTTACAGGCTTCCTTCCATTGCTGAAAAGGATTACCCTGCAGCCGAGCCATGTGCAAACAACTGGGCTATGAGTCACAAGAATAGCTTTATTACAAGCTGAGAACTTTGTGCCTGCTGAGGAAGGAGGAACTTGACAATGGCTTTGTGGGGAATAAATTTGTGTTTTTGAAAGTGGTATAAATACGTAGATAACAATGCACTGGAACAGATTTGTGCTGGTAAATGCATCAGATTGGAAAACAGCATTGTCCGTACAAGTGTTTTTAACAGATTTATTAGCACACTGGATTGGCAGCTTCTGTTTGTGAGTTAGATCAACAACATTCCTTTTTGGGTTTTGCACCCCAGTACAAGTAAATACATTAAATCCAATGGGGAAAAAAAAAAAAAGAATTAAATGGCTACAGAAAGCAGCTGCTAAATCAGAAAGAGAAATGAGAAGCTTGGAGAAATGCAGGGGAAACAGCTGAGGGGAGCACAGAGCAGCTCCTGATTGTCTTTTATTTCCTTACGTCTGACATCTTAGTTTCCTGAGGAGATAAAGCCACTTAGCTTAGGTCCATTTGCCTGGGACACGGAGGCAATGATCCAGATCTGATCCCCATCTCCTGTGTCATATTGCAGCCACTAGTGGTATTACTGCTGGGAGTGAGGATAAATTGGTGTAAAGGGCCCCCACCTGCTCCAAGGGGTCTCAGTGGAGGAGATTCCTGTGGAAAGCTGGGGAACAAGCCAGGTAATATTAAACAGCAGCAACGGGCTGGCAAAGAGGAGAGGCACAGCTATTCTAAACTCTTATTTGGGCAGTATTTACTATCATCTCACCACTTTTCCTTTGAGAAAAGCTCCTGTGAACAGCCAGTGTTACAGGGTTTCTGAAACAGATCCCAGCATTGGAGCTGCATTACCTACCAAGGTTCCTGTCGAGGCAGCCTGCCCCAGAGCTTGCAGTGCCTTCCCATCTCTTCATAGTCTTCACTTCTCCATGAGTTTGATATGGCTCTACCTTATTCATCAGACTGCAGCCTGCATGGACGCACCTTGGACATTTGCTAAGTACAGCCATTAATTTCCAGCATGGGGAAACTTGAATGTAGGCAAATTTCTAGCCTAGCAGGATGAGGCACAGAACAGCCAAAAAGCAAATCCAGCAGCATTTGCTATAGATCTGCTGAGAAATTGCACCAGTGTGTTTCTGCACTTAGGAGCTACTCCTAAGTCAAACAGCCAACCACTGTGCAAACACCATGAGCGCTTCCACCCAGGGCCTTCCAGCCATTTAGCTGCTCCACCCAGCTCTGTGTGCCTGGGTGGCTTTAGCACGTGCCTTTGGACAGGCCCCAGGACACCAAAAGCCAAGGCAGCTGAGTACCTCCATTCATTACCAGTGAATGAATGGGGATAGGTATACCCAGAGTACAGCCTCAGCCACCCATATTCCCATCTGGGGAAACACCCAACAAGCCATCAATGTCCACGTTCACAATGTCCACATTAGTCTCCTGATCATCATGCCCACTGACTTCTTTCTTCTTTTTATATCACATTCGAATTGGCTC